GGGCCGCAGTGGGCAGTGGGCACGCACTCGGACGGTGGCCAGGCCACAGGTGACAACAGCACCACCCCTGTGGCGACTGGTCCCGCGCAGAGGGAACCAGCCAGTGGCTGCGCTTCCGCCTGTCCTGCCCCAACTCCAGGACTCTGGAGGAGCCAGAGGAGGTCAAGGGGCGCCAACCCAGTCATGGAGACGCCCACCTCTCTGCAGCCCACCTCCAGCACCCCACACCCACAGCCGCCATCGGGCCACGGGAGCTCCCTTCCCACTGTGAGGCCCCCACGCCGCTGCTCCCCTCGGAGTCTGTGCGCCCAGGGGCGGGCGGCCGGCCCCTCACTCTAGTGAACAGCCCGGTGCTCCCGTTCGACGGGTCTGTATCTCCAGAGCAGGAAGGGGTGCAGGATCGTGGACATGACCTGGAGCTCCAGTGCACACGCACACACGTGAGCAGAAACCAAAGGGAGGTGCCACGGGACCCACAGACCCAGACTGAAGACTAGAGGGTGACGGTCACTCCCCTTGACCTTGACTTTTAAAGCGGCCGGTTTCCATAAATGGTGTGGAACGCTCCTGTGTTCCCAAGAGCCTCCTCCTCCTCCCACCGGCTCGGCTCACCTCCCCTGCGGCTCCTCGTCCAGGCGTCGCCCGGCCTCACTCCGCCTGGCCCCCACTGCAGCTCGCGCTGCCCAGTCTGTGGGGGACTCGCAGGGACGCTGACGGCACGGGCGGTGGGAGGGGGGGCAGGGACGCTGGCGCGGAGCTCGGTCTGTCGACGGCTCTGTGCAGAAACCTGGTCAGGAAACTGGGGCGGCCACTCCTCAGGGTTTTCCTCGCTACAGAACTCTGCAGTGAGGATTTTCCGTCTGAAAATAAAACCTGACACTCTTTATTTTAAAAGAGCAGGTGGAGCGTGGTCCCGTCTCAAAGTAGCGTCCCCACTCTCCCTGCCCCCAGGCGCGGGGAGCGTGTCCGTGGGAGTCACGTCGGGTGGAGGGACCCCAAGCGTGTGCATGCGAGCGCAGCCGTCTGCTTGCTCCCGTTTAACCACACGGTGCGAGCAGGTTTTAGAACACGTCTCCATCATTCCACCAAAACAGCAGTCATTTTTTCACTGTCGCCCGAGGATGTATTCACTTATTTTAGAGACAGAGGGAGAGCGAGAGAGGGAGAGAAACATCAATGTGAAACAGAAACATTGATTGGCTGCCTCCCACAGGCACCCTGACCGGGGATCAAACCCGCAATCTTTAGGTGTACAGAATGATGTTCCAACCAACAGAGCCACCCAGCCAGGGCTAAAGTTATTCTTTTAAAAAAACAAATCTGGCCCTGGCTGGTGTGGCTCAGTGGCTTGAGTACTGGCCTGCAAACCAAAGTGTCGCTGGTTTAATTCCAGTCAGGGCACAGGCCTGGGTTGCCGACCAGGTCCCCAGTAGGGGGCGCACGAGAGGCAACCACACATTGATGTTTCTCTCCCTCTCTTCCTCCCTCCCTTCCTCTCTCAAAAATAAACTTTTTTTAATAAAATAAAATTTAGTTTGTTTTTAGTCTGTTTTTACAAACTTCCAAACAAGTGTGACCAGCTTAGAAAATTTAATTCCACTAAGAGAAAAATTATCTTAAGTGAGCTTCAAAGTATCTTGTTTCTCAACTATAATAACATCATTGATTCCAAAGGTATGGCAAACATTTTAACCTTTAGTTCTTTAACAGTCAGTGGTCCATTTCCAATCAGCCGAGTTGGTAGCTTGTTTAGACCTCACTGTCAGGGAAAAAAAAAGATTCACATTTTGTACATTTTCTTTGTACTTTCAGCTGAACTTTACTTCAGTAACAGTACAAACAGAAGCTTAAAGAGCGCAGGTAAGTCACTGTCATTGAAACTTTTTTCTATTGATTTCTGCTTCTGGACACAATGGAGTGTTAGGGACCAGCTTCGCCCTGATCTCAAACAACTGAAAAAATCAGACCAAACCTATGAAACGACAGTCTCCAACCCCGGACCGCAGGCCACGCAGACTGTGAATCTTAGCAGAGTGGACACGAGGAGAGCCGGGAGAGCCCCCAGGTCCCCACCCACATGGGGCCAGCAACCCAGGGGACCGCAGGGTGCACAGGGCAGCGGTCCAGGAGGCCGGGCCGGGCCCAGAGAGGGGAGGCTGGAGGAAGAGCGCTCCTCTGCTGGCTGACCCGAGTCCCCCCAGGTGCACGTGCGCGGGGACGCCCTGTGGCCGGGGGCACTGACGGGAGGCGGAACGAGTCCCCAAGCCCAGGCCCCCCGCCCCGACTGCGGGCCTTTGTTCAGTGGGAGAACGAAGCTGCCAGGGGCTGAAGGCAACACTGTCTCAGGGTGCTTCACACGTGCCACACGGGAGGCTGGGAATCACTAGAGCAACGTGCAAAACTAGCAACATAAAGTTCACAGAAAAGCGGAAAATGCAGGCCACCATGAGAAGAAAAAGGCACGAGTGGACCCAGAAGTCACACAGACCAGCACAACCGCAGGTGCACATGGACGCGAGCAAGGCCACCAGACGTGCGGCAGGGGAGGAGGGGGAAGAGACGGACCTTGGACTCAGCCTCGGGAGCGGAGGAACGTGGGTGATGTCGGCACCAGCACCTGGCCCGGAGGGGCACACTGGACCACTCTGAGAAGACCAGAGAGGTGCTGGCAAACTTCAGCCACCGACTGAGTGCCCGCCGGCAGCAGATGGGTGTGCGCCTCGTACACCACACCCCGGGGGAGAGGAAGCGGGACCTGGACAGCATCCTCCACGGGATCGGGACGCTGGAAGGGAAGCCGTCCAGGTGTGCCCACAGGCCTCCAGCCACACCCCGGAGGCCTCCCTCCTGGAGGGCGACAATGAAGATCCCAACCCGCCCAGCACAACCACCATCACCACCTTGGAACGGGGCACATGCCCCAGTGTCACCAGCCCAGACGGCACCTCCCCTTCCTCAGCCCTGACTTCAAGGGTCTGTCCCACGTCCAGCCACACTCGCCTGTCATCAACAGCCACAGCCAGACGGACAACGAGGAGATGTCAGGTGAGGAGCCCGGCTCCAAGTGCTCAGAGGGGTCGCAGGGTTCTCCAGGTGCCTGAAGGGGCAGCAGGTGACCCTGCCTCCAGACTGTCAGCTTTGCCACCTTGTTCTGCCCACCAGGGCACCCTGGAAGACACTCCCCCCCACCCCAGGTGTGGGATTCCTGGGTCTGCTCTCCCCATCCCTCCCTCCCTGACAGCATCCCTCTCTGGCAGCCCCTCGGCCAGGCCAGCGGAGGAGCAGCCACCTGGAGCCGCTGACCTGGCACAAGGAAGCTTTCCCAGAGCCAGGCCTGAGGTCTGCTCCAAACAACACTGAAAGGTTCCCCAGGACACACACCAGATATCCCCGTCTCGGCACCTGGGGCCAGAACCCCTCTGAGGGGGCAGGCACTCTCGGGCCTGAGGGCGCCTGCCCCACTCCAGCACAACAACGCAGGCCCCCATCCCTTCCTCCAGCAAGTGCTAAATGCTCTCTCCCAGAAGTACCTCGAAGCTCCTGAAACGGGGAGAGAGCCCACGACTGCCCTCTCAGACGAGCAGGACGAGGTCCACGCCTGTCTGACCAGAGCTGCGGGCCCTGGGCCCTGCAGGCCCCTCCAGGGAGGGGCTCCGTGAAGCCAGCCAAGGCAGCACGGACAGCAGGCTCTAACAAAGCACTTCTGTACCCGGTGTTTACAGATGACATTGGGAAGGCATCAATAAAAAGACTCCTTACTGAGAAGGGAAAGGAGAGCATATAAAGGCACGAGTATAAATACCAGGTTTGCAAGCAGCTCGGGGAGAGCACAAGCACGTTGGGAGAAGAGAGGAGACACAGAAGACACATTCTGAGGTGAAAGCTGCAGGAGATGTGATGCACAAGCAGGTGCGTTGTCGTGGTGAGGCTGCCAATCACCAGTTGCCCACAGCTGCGGCCTTTGAGTCATCCCAACAGTTTCTGTGGAGGAACATTCAAGCTTAATGCAAAATCTGATGCAGATCCGTTGCTCTCCTCGCTCAGGCATGTTGACTGCGACAACCACACAGTACACACGCTCAACGGTGTCTACTGCCCCCACCGACTGGCACAGTGAAGTCTTCAGTGTTCACGCATGTGCACTGCAGTCCACACTCCTTGGCTGCCAGGTTACACAAATGTTTTGCAAACTGTTCTTGTATTAACAATGGCTGGACTTTTCCCGGACAGACTATATACATGCTCCTTGACTTATGTTGGGTTTACATCCTGATAAAGCCATCATAAGTTGAAAATATCTCAAGTGGAAAATGCATTTTAACGTGACACGGCAGAGTGCGGGGTGTGGAACTTCGGGCGGAGCTGCGGCTCACTGTCACCGTCCAGCATCCCAGAGAGGGTCCACCTGCGCATGCCTAGCCTGGGAAGAGTTCAAAATTCAAAACTAGAAGTGTGGCTTCTACCAAATGCATATCGCTTTTGCACCACTTGCCAGGCTGGAAGACGGTGGAGGGACGTCTGCATGTGTACGTGTAAAAAAGTCCGGTATAAATGTAACCGGAATCCAGGGCACAGAAGGGTTGGGGTGGGAGGCAGAAAAGGCACTTCAGTAAATGTCTGCAATTTTGTCAACCGTGCTGAAAACTACAGATCCAAAAGGCTAATGAAATCCCAGCACAAAGCTCAAAAGAAAACCCCCAGGGCTCCTACAAGCACCCTACCTTAGGGAGCATGGTGGGCGCTGGCGATCAGGGGAACATTGCGACCCCTACGCTCAAGCCCCCGCCCACATACAGCCTCGGGACCAGCGCAAGCATGCGCGCTGCGGCCTCGGGCCTAGCGGACCTGGCGAGCATGCGCAGCACCGCCATGGTGGAGGGGGGTGGCGCAAGGAGGGGGACGGCACCTGCTTGGGGCGCCGCCGGAACTCGTCACACGCGCAGTGCATGACTGGGCCGTTGAGCATGCGCGCTGGGGTATGACCGCAGCCCGCAGTGGTTGCCTGGCAACCGCGAGCGGTCACGGAGGTCCAGGGCGCAGGCTGTGGGGGGTGTGCGGAGGCCAAGAGAGGGCGGAGGAGCGGGGAAGGGACCGTCCCCTGCAGGGGTAGGAGGGCCTGGCCCCGGGACTCCCGCCTGCGCATCCCCCCGACTTCCGCCGGGCTGCCACGGCCATCGGTCCCAGGGCACCCGAGGTCCGCACCCGGTCGGTCCTAAAAACGTCCCGGTCAGCAATCGGTGACTTCCGAAGCCCAGTGCCACCAGGCACTGGCCAGCGCCGAGTCCGAAGGCGTGGCCGAGTCGGGCAGAGCGTCCCAACCATTTAATTTCGCACTGTCCGCGCGCCTCCGGCCGTCCCAGGTGCACCATCGGCCGAGGTGGGCCGAGAAGAACCACGAGTTGGGGGAGCGAAGAGCCGGTGTGCGCCCGCGGTCTCAGCCGCAGGTCTGTGTCTCGGGCAGGTGTTCAGGGAGCGTGTTCACTCCGTAGCCTGAGGTCCAGGCGGCCCATTGGGAGCTCTGGCGCCGCACTGGTATTTTTTGTCACCAAGCCCCACCTCTTTTAACTAGTCGTTAATACTGGAGTTTACAGAGAAAAATATTCCTGTTAAATTCAGCGCTTAACACTGGACACGGGTTCAGTGTGTAGCCCTACCCTTGCCACAGTCTCGGCGCATGCTCTTGCCAGTCGCCTCACCTAGGGATCCGTCCCTCGTTCCGAAAGGGGGTGAGGCTGACCATCTGAGAAGTGCCCACCTCTGCAGCGTGAGGACGCGCAGAGTAGCACGCTCCAGCGACATCTGCCCGCACGGACCTGCTCCCACGCCTGCCACCTCGCTGTCGTGACGAAGTGACTGTCGCGACAGAACTTCCCTTGCTGCGTGCCTTGGTCCAGAGCCGCACTGGGCGCGTCTGCACCAACAGCCCCCACGCAGGGAGACCGCAGACCCACGCGGCCCTCTCCCCGCCCTGCTCCTGGGCGAGCTCACCCTACCAGGCTCCCCTGGTACAGGGGTGGGGTCTTCGACCCTTCTTGTGGACTAATCCATTTCTAGTCTCACGTTTAGGCCCACGCCACTATTTCCTAGACTACTTCAGCACTGTTTCTCCCCAGAATATTCTGGACTCTCACCCAAAAGCTGAAGGGGCCAGTTTCAGAGTCTTCTAGCAGGGAAGCGGAGCAACAGTAAGCTTGTACGGAGCATCTTCGGTGGGAAAGGCCCACGGAAGATACGTTACAAAGATCGTCCCGTTAATCCTAATGATAACCCTGCCAGGTGTGTCTGTATCACGACACCTGTTTTAAGGCCAGAAAACAGACTGCGCGAGGAGAAGTAAATTGCCTGGCCTACAGGTGGGGCAGGAGTGGGCCCCAGGTGCGTCCGCGAACTGTGCGTGTGCACGCGCGGCCGCATCCCTCTTCGGCTCTCCCCCCGCCCAGAGGGACCGATGCGGCTGGGCCCTGGGGGGCCTGCACCCGACTCCCCACAGTGCAGGTGCTAACGTCCCTCTGTCCCTCCCATCCCAGGTGAGCGTCACCTCTGGCCGGCAGGCTCCACTCAGCTCCCCCGCCTTCGGGCTGAGGCTCCTTGCACGTGGGCGGAGCACCCTCCTGCTGAGCACCGGGGGTTCCCGTTCTCACCTGCGGTCCAGCCCTGACTTCCTGTCAACTGTGTCCCCACGGGAGAAGAATGAGAGGAATACCATGTGATGACATGATCTGACACAGCCGAGCGAGCAGCAGCGCTCCCTGGTTTGGCATGTTTAAAAACAAGGTACACAACTCTCGTCAGAAACTCACACATGGTTTCAGTCGTGAATGTGTTTTCATCCGGCTGTGTGCGAGCGTGCGGGACAGCTGCAAGCCGTGCTTGCACGAGTGGCTGTCCGCTGAGCCTTCACGACGAGCCCCTCTCGGCCGCACGGCCCTCCGCTCCCTGTAACTTGCACCAGCGCAGCCTTCTCTTTAGGAGAAGAGAAGCAACACTCCCCTGCAGACTGATTTAATTAGAGTGACACGGAATGTGTCCAGGCAGGCACGTCCTCCATGGGTCACAACGTATCTATCCATGCTGTAATTAGAGGCCTTGGGGATCAAATGGAGCGGTGTGGCTGTGCCGTCACCGTAGGTGTGGAGACTGGGCTTTGCTCCAGCTCGGCTGGTGATGGGTCGGGCACTCTCCTCTGCTAGATTGGGTCCAGCACGCTTTCGAGATGGAGAATGAAGGCTTCGGTTTTCTTCTGAGCGACACGTCACATAATGTTCTGTGTGTGCCGCTCTCCCCCGCTTTTCAGGGGCACCCGTGTAAGCGAGGCAACTTAGCAATCACTGCGGTTGCTTTACAAGATCACATCTTACATGACCTTCAGCTACAAAACCCTTCGGCGGCCGATCCTTCCCAGACAAAGGCACAGCAGAGAGCGAACGCACTCAGATCTCTAAAAAGGAATGCGAAAGCTGTAACAGACACAGGGCTTCAAAGGAGGACACAAGGCCCCAGAGAGGCTGATCCAGAAAGAGAGTATGTTCTCGATCCCAAACCCCCACCATTAACTCTAGGTAAGCTGACCTCATCATTCACGTTTCGGCTTCTTCACACTAAAGAATTTAGTTGAGACTGACAGTATAATTTTCCTTGGACAGAAATAATTTGCAATCTTATGGAAAGATACATAGGTGCTAAAGTTTAAAAATGAGGATGGGGCCCTGGCTGGTGTGGCTCAGTGGACTGAGTGCCAGCCTGCAACCAAAGGGTCTCCCGTTCGATTCCCAGTCAGGACACAGGCCTGCATTGCAGGCCGGGTTCCCCACTGTGGGGCACACGAGAGGCAACCATACACTGATGTTTCTCTTCCTCTTTCTCCCTCCCTTCCCCTCTCTCTAAAAATAAATAAGTAAAATCTTTAAGAAAGATGAGGGTGGGAACAAATTAGGCAGGTGAACGAAAACAACAGTAAGTATCTGTGCATGCGCATGATGTGCGTGAGTGATCGCGCAAGGAACGGAGAGAGAAAGCGCTCTCGCCGCAGAGTGACAGCTGACGAGGCAGAGGCGCCAGGAACGGAAAGGCACAGGCAGTTCGGGAGGCAGCACAGTGAGAACAACCCCCCCACCACGGGACACTCATGCTGTGACCCGTCCCACGGCACCTCCCGGTCCGCATCTGCGGTGAGGGCACGCCGTGGCCTCACAGAGGGGTGACATGGGGTGGCCGGCACTTCGCCCAGTGACCGAGGCGACCGCCCCCAGAGGGACACACCCCGACGTCAGGTGTCTCCCCGTCCTGCGTTCTGAGAAGGGCATGCTCTCGCCTCAGTGCACGTCCGAATTTAATCCCGAGGAAGCATCAGACAACCCCAAACTGACGACGTTCTGCACATTCCTGGCCAGTCCTAACCAGAAGCACCAGTCCAGGAAAGCAGATAAAGACTGAGGAATCGGCCCAGACGGGAGGAGACGGAGAGGACGGGACGGCCGAGTGCAGTGTGGGGTCTGGGTCAGAGAAAGAGAGCTGGGCGAGACGGGAGCAAAGCCCAAACAGGAGCAGACGGGCAGCGCTAGGGTGACGCTCGTGTCCTGGTCGGCCTGCACGCTGGCCTTTAGGAAGCTGGGTAAAGACACACGAGAATGCTTTACAGTTTCTACAGCCTTCTGGGAGTCTGAAATTATTTTAACAGGAAGTTAGAAACAGACAGGACTTTCGAAAGACGCTGGGCATGGGAACAGGTGCCTCTGGTCTGTGTCCCAGCACCAGTGCCACGAACACGGGGCCTGGCGCAGAGGGGCCACCGCCGACACCACCGCCGCGCCCGACAGACACCCTCCCGTTTCACCCTGAGCTGCCAGCAGCTGGCTGCGCTCCGGAAAGGGACAGGGCTCAGGGCCGTTACAATTGTCCAGGAGCAGCAGCAGTCCCCCACTTTCTACTTGTGTTGTTTTCACTGCAGCGCAGAGGCTGGGCCTGTTCGAACCTCCCCCGCTGCCGCTCTCCTCAGACGAGTGGGACAAAGTGAGACAGAGGTCCCTGTCGCAGGGGGACTCCGTGCAGCCCTGCCCAGTGTGCAAGGAAGAGTTCCAGCTGCGCCCCCAGGTGTGTAGCCCCGGCGTGCAGCGAGAGGGTGGGGTGTGCACGCCCGGCAGACCCACTCCTGGGGACACCGAGCCGGGGCTGTTCTCGCGGGGGTGCTGTGAGGGAGGCACTGGGCACCGGGACGGGCTCCAGGCTTCTCTTTTCCACTTCCTGCCCCCGGGGCCCTCGGACACTGCGACTCTCTCCCTTCGTGCGAGCCCCCCCCCCCCCCCCGTGCCAGGAGGAGCCGAGCCCTGAGCCCCGTCCTGGTCGGGCAGGTCCGCGCACTCAGCAGGGGTGCACTGGCGGGCACCGAGACGGGTGGCAGAGCGCTCCCGGGCCTCCGGCCGTGGAGGCTGAACAGAGGGAGACCCCGAGGGCAGGGTGCAGAGAGGTGTTCACAGCCCGACGGAGGGAAGGGGAAGCAAAAAGGAATTTTCAAGCTGGTATGCGAACTGGAATATAAAAGGAAAGTCCAGGCTTGCCCATCTCAGTAATCTGTGGAAGATTCTTTAAAGCCCCCCAGCCTCTATTCATGAACGTGTCAGGGTCAGACTGAGGGTTCCACAGACTGCAGCACCTGTGTGTGTCACGGGGTGTCCCGTGCACAAATTCGGTCTGCCTCGTCGGCTGCAGTCTGACGTTAGGGCACCTCCTCCCTGCAGCTGTGTCCCTCCTGAGCGGACGGCCACACGATGCCCCACAGGGCAGCCCGTGCCTCCCCTGGAGCGGGCGCCCAGACATGTGCAGGAAGCGCAGCAGACAGAGCGAAAGGCAGGCTTCGCTGGCGGCCCTGCTATGTAAACTCTCCGACGGCGCGGTTTTCATTGGTGTCACTGTTATTGAGTTAGTGCACGACGGGACTTTCGGTCTTCACTAATTTGAACTCACGACTTATTTTACACACACTGGATTCCAGTTCTGTCGGGATCTAACCGCACGGCTGTGAAACTCGGGGAATTCGGAAAGATTTTAGCTCGTAAACCACAGGACTACCATCTAGGGTAACTTAACGTTTTAGTGTGACACGAGTTAATGAAGCCACAAGGAGTCTTTCAGGCCCTGGAGACCTCGTTTCCTGTTTGTGTCCGTTTCTGTGGTCCTTCTGTGGTTTTCAGTCACAGCTGACACACGTCAGGTCAGCTTCGGGTGCACACCCGGGGATCAGACGTCGTGTGCCTGACGGGGGACCATCTGATGCACCTCGCACCATCCCATCCGGCACCAGACGCGGCTGCTGGAACAGTACAGAGCACACGGGACACTCCCCGTGCTGTGCCTCCCCTCCACGGGCCTGTTCTGCGCCGCCAACCCCCGCTGCTCAGCCCCTTCACCCTCCTCGCCCCTCCTCCCGCCCCCTCCCACCCCCTCCCACCCGGCAGCCGTCAGCTGTTCTGTGTGTCTACGAGTCTGTTTCTGTTCTGCTTGTTCATTTAGTTTGTTTTTGATTCGATTGTTGATAGATATGTACTTACTGCCATTTGTGTTCACGTTTTTATCTTTTCTTCTTAAAGAAGACCCTTTAACCAGCAGTCCCCAACGTTTCAGGCACCAGGGATCGGTTTCATGGAAGATGATTTTTCCACGGACTGGGGAGAAATCCGTGGAAAAATCACGGATGGCTTCGGGGTGATTCGAGCACATTGCACTCAAGCTCACCGCCTGCTGGGCAGCCCGGCTCCTGACTGGCCCAGACTGGCCCTGGCCTGCAGCCCAGAGGTTGGGGACCCCTGCCTTTAACATTTCATGTAGCAAATGGCTTGGTGACAAGGAACTCCTTTAGCTCTTCCTTGTCTGGGAAGCTCTTTATCTGTCCTTTGATTCTAAATGACAGCTTTGCTGGCTAGAGTAGTCTTAGCTGTAGATCCCAACTTTTCATCACTTTGAATATTTCTTGCCACTCCCTCTGGCCTGCAGAGTTTCTGTTGAGAATTAGGCTGACGGTCTTATGGGAACTTCCTCGTAACTGACTGCTTTTCCTAATTACACTGTAAACAACCCGACCTATGGAAAAGGGAGGGGCTCGCCTACGTCGCACACAGCATGTCTTCCATTCTGTCCTTATTCTCACTGAATTCTGTATCTTGTTTGGTCGTGGATACAGAGACACTGTGTTCACTTTGCGGCCCTTGCTCCTGCTCCCGTGTCGAAGTCTCCCTTAGTTCCCAGCGGCAGCCGGCGCTCTTCTGATGCTCGCTGACCGCCGAGGGCTCTGACTGGTGGCACGCGTCGGTGGGGCCGGGAAGCTCGCGCGGGTGCAGCTGGACTCGGGCGCTCACTCGGAGGACGCTTTCCGTGCATCTCCCCCGACCTGGTCACTTCCTTCTGTTATCCCAGAGAATGTTTGCCAGCAGGACCTGCCTATGAACGTTTACAAGCATATTTTAAACATACAGAGTATAACACTCCCAACGCAGACCATCAAGTATCTGTTGATGAGACACTCTGAAAGATTATTCTATTGAGTACACACAGGACTGCTGTTCAATTAAATGGTGATAATTTAAAAGGACTGATGTTACTGAGTTTTTCCAGTCCAGGCTTACTGGTGGCCATGAGTTTCCAGGAAAGGCTCTAGGTTTCCGAGCTGCACTTACTCCAGGATTTCTTTCACTCTTCCTGCCCAGGAAGAAAAGTGTAGACTGAACGAAGGCAGGAGGAGGATCACTTTAAAAACTGGGACGTTCTCCCAAGGCCCAGTGGCTGGTGTCTGAGACTGTGCCCAGAGCGCTGGAGGAATGTCTCTGCCCCATGGGAGGCCCGTGGCTGCAGCTCACTCCCTGCAGGGTGTGCAGGGCGCAGCCGTCCTGGTCTTCTCCCCGCTGCCTTCCCTTCCAGAAGACCCCACCACCTCTTTCTTTCTTGGGTCTAAGCTTCTGTCTTGTCACAGCCCAGGATATCGTCACTATTTAGTGGGAATCTGGTCACAGAAAAGGAAGATTTTTCTTGTGACTGCACTTTCCCTGCATTTAAAACACTAAACGTGATTCATATGTACCCAGGACTTGCTATTTGAGTACCAGAATTATACCTCAATGAAGCTGTGATTTTTACAACTTGAAGAGGGCAGCGTAGGTGAACGAAGCCCTGAAGAAGGTGTGTGCTTGCCCTTCTCTGTCCCCTCCCCGCCCCAGACCTGCCCGGGAGATGCATCCACTCACGACAGTTTCATCTTTCAACATGCGGCCATCCAGTGGCTCAGTGGCTTCAACTTCACTGCTATTGAACTTGGCTTTTCCCACTGAGGTTATATACCTGTGCCGTGCTAAACTTAAACACTAAATATTATGAGTATCAAGGTTTTTAATTTGCTTTTTTATATTTTCAAAGAAACGACACAGCTTACCTTGCAAGCATGTGGTGTTTCTTTAATTACTGCGTCTGCGCTGCTTCTCGCTTACACCGACTGACACTCAACGCTTTGTCTCCCGCGGACAGGTGCTGCTCTCCTGCTCCCACGTGTTCCACAGGGTGAGTCGCCCGTCCCCCCGTCGCCCGCGGCGGCCGGGCACGGGCTCACCCTCCTTCCTGAGGCTCCCCCCGGGGGCATCTGTGGTGTCCACAGTCGCCACCTGCAGCCAGAAACATGACTCTGGACTGCAGTACGATTCATGCTGGTTGGAAAAACCGTGAATTCGACATGACGAGGGAACACAAACGTCTGTCTAGCGGACTGTCGGTAATGTCCGTCAGAGGGAGTGACAGCCCGGTCCCTGTGACTGGCGGCAGGGCCACCCTGGACACAGCGCCCTCTGCCTTTACGCGGTCTGGTGTCAGAGGTCTGGACATACCTGCATGTGTGCTCCTGTTAAAGGCCACGTGGAGGAGCAAGCTGCGTGAGGAAGGTGTTAACATCTGACGAAACTTCTTCACGATCTAAAGTACACTAAGTCTCATAATCATGAGAGAAAGGAACACTATAGTTACATTAGAAGTAGAAATGTGGTTTATGAGTGATCACTCGCAAAGACTTAAGCGAAATGTCTCTCTTCAGGCGTGCCTCCAGGCCTTTGAAAAGTTCACAGGTAAGAAAACCTGTCCCCTCTGCAGAAAGAACCAGTACCAAACCCGAGTGATCCACGACGGGGCCCAGCTGTTCAGAAGAAAGTGCGCGACAAGGTGAGAAGGGCCCTGCCCCGGGCACCCCACTGCAGCGGCGGCGAGGCGCCGGGGCCCCGGGCCCTGACAGCCCCCTCCAACTCGTGCTCCAGGATCCAAGCCTGCTGGCGGGGACACGTGGTCCGGAAGTGGTACCGCGACCTGAGGAGGACGCTGCCACCCACCGACGCCAGGCTGAGGAGGAAGTTCTTTGAAGAAAAGGTAGGTACAGACCCTTAACCCTCCAGAAACTTCAGTTTCTACCCTTTCTTTTAGCCACTTTTTATGTACTTTTTGGCTTAACAGTTTCCATCACGTGTCCCATGCAAAAAGGACAGGCAAGGCAGAGTGGGGGGGCCAGCAAGGCCTGGGTTGGAATCCCAGCTCAACCCTCACCAGCCTTGTGTGTCAGGCCGACAACAGCTGCCCGCCGCCCCGCCGCCACCTCTGCGATGGGGCGGGGCGACCCTCTGCCCTGCGGGCCGTGCTAAGAATCAGAACGGGGTTCACGGAGGGCGCCGGGATGCGGGCACTCACTGTAACCGTTCACGTGTTGCTCCAGCTCCTGTCCATCTCGGGGTCACAGGGCGGCGGGCGTTCGGATGGGGTGTTAGCTCGGACCCTCAGGTGGAACCCCGTGGTCACGCCCCAGGATACATGGAGTTTAGATCCCTGCCCCGTTTGGGGTCGTGAGTGACAACAGTCACTCACTCCTCACCGTACAGAGGCCCCCTACATCCCTAACTTCTCCCGCCCTGTGCTTTGGGGGCGGAGGGCGGGCTCACTCACAAGCTCCCGGTATCCTCGAATGCCCAGTCGGACTTCCTCTGCCAAGGTGCCGATCCCTGCGCCCTCACACCGCCCTGACATTCTCGTGTCTCAGCGCCACGCGGGGACCCTGGAGGAAGGGGACCCGGGCCTCACTCTGTCGCAGCTGACACCTAGTGCCCTTCCTCAGGCAGCCCTCCCAGCAACGCAGGTACCGCGGTGTCGGAAAAAAGAAACAGAACCGTGGCTCCGTGTGGGGCCTCAGATTAACCGAGAAAGCCCACTTGCTCTGTCCTCAGCGGTAGGACAGCATGAAACACTCTGGGAGCAAACCCCCTGAAACTCTTCATCCTGACAACAAAGCCATCAAGGCCGGGGGTGGAGAGATGAGATGCCACGGTGCCACCCTGTCCTTGCGCTGGACGGTGCCCCCTCCAAGGTGGGCAGGACGGGCCCCACAGGAGGGCTCTGGCCCTGGGAGGGGTGGGGCGAGCAGCAGGGGGAGGCTGTGGACAGGGCTGCAGGTCCACATTTGTCCACGTTTGTGTGTGGAACGATCACATGTCCCGATTACTGTCTCGATTTGATCGCTGTCACCTTCAGCTGGTCTTCCCAACCATGGAGCCTCATCCAATGGGGAACCTCCAGCACGAAACTTCGCAAACCACTTCTGTCCGGCACACTCGCTCAGTCACGGCACCTTCTCCACACACCGCACAGATCTTCTTGTGCATTTCCATTGCGTTTTTACCTTTCTTGAGATAGTAAAGCATAATATGCTGAAAATGTTCCTTATTTTCCTCCATCTTCACTAGTAAAATGGATGCACAGAAATTCAATTGTGTTTTTTTAACTATATGCTGATCTGACAGTTGTCACAATATGACCTAACAAAACTGTTTCGAACAAAGTAAAGACAACTAAGCGCTACTAGAGCCATCTTACAGGAAAAAACGAACGAACTTTTTGGCCAGCCTAGTATTGGTTTCCGGTCTGGGTTTCTCATTTAGCTTCCTGGTTTTCCAGAACTAACATGTACACTCAAGTCCAGCTTCAGAAGAATCAGTGCCCATTTAAAAATAAATGAATTCCACAGCCAGAACAAGCAGTGGCCCCCTCAAGGCCCCGAGGCTGGGGAACCAGCTTTGTGACACAGTCAGCGGACACTCCTGCAGAGGTGTGGCTCTCAGCCCGGTCTGACACCGGTCTGTCCACATGCCAGCACCCCACCACCACCAAGTGCGAGGAACCACCAGAGATCTAAGCCCCAGCTTCAGAAGCTGCAGAGCTCACGGAGCAGGACGTGTAGCAGCTGGCTGGGTCGGACATGGCGAGCCCCCGGACGCCTGGGGACAGCTGCAGGCTCTGACCTGGGCTGACGTGTGCACCAGCAGCCGCAGTCCTCAGCTGTGTCTCCATTCTCACCACTGGTGAGTGTTAAACCCGAGCAAATTCACTGTATTTCAGTCTTAAAAACTGCAAGTGCACGCCCCTAGAGCAGTCAGTCATGCGACACACCCCGCAGCCAACGGCAGTGACGGCCCCCAGCAGCCCAGGACTCCTCAGCGGGACCCCAGCAGCGGGGCCTCCCTCCTCCCCCGAAGCCTCTGCACCTGCGCACCCCGAGGTCCCCAGACTGCTGGGCCTGTCAGAATCACCTTGGAAAAGAAACGCCGTGCTCACACCACAGAAGCAGGCCTACTTGGCCACATGCTAAAGGAGATGACTGTGAAGACATACAGCGGCACGAAAAGTCCACTCCACTGATCACTTTTCTCCTTCCCTGGCAAGTGGGTGAAAACTTCTCTGCCGTACTTGGGAACCACTGGGTTGGACCAACGATAAGTCACCTTCAGGGAAAAAGTCTAATCAATGGTGGGGGAAAGCAAAGAGGGATAATAGGGAGCTATTTTTAAGCACAATAAATTAGGAAGTTCTTGTTTCCTTTAAAGTTTCAAGAGCTCAAGAAGATGGATACGTCTTTAATACCCTAGATTAGATTAGCTCGGGCCATTCTATTTTTACATATCAATCTATCTTCCCTGTGAAAGAACTGTGGCCTTGCATTTTCACTCTTCTTAACAGGGGGAATTAATGAAGTCTCTTCTTCAGTTTTCATGTTTCTACTGGGTGTTAACTAATTTAAACAACACAGAGGTTACCTTTCTACAACTGCTAGTGCTTCCCTACCCAGAATTCCTTTTCACAGACTTGCCTTGCTTTAAGATGTCACTGGCACACTCCTAACGAGACTAAACCAGAGCAGGGTGATGCCATTCCTTTCAAAGACGGCAGTCCTGGGCTAGGAACCTGCAGGTGGCTCCAATGCTGAGTTCTGCGCCTGTGAGTGAGTGTCGAGAGCTGACCTGGAGTCAGCAGTGCTCGCTGGAGGGGCATCGGAGCTGCGAGGACAGTGCAGCAGTCCCAGGGCGCGGTGAGCTCAGATCAAAGCCCCGAGAGGTCCCGGGGCTGCGCGCTCACGCCTGTCAGCAGCGTGCACAGAGCGCCAAGTGCTGCCCAGAATGCAGCGGTTGGACATTCGTTGAAAGCCTTTGATCCTTATCTGGAAGTTCTGCTGGCGTATGTCATATAATTGAGGCATGGTTTTTTATGGCTGCAATTAAAACTTTTCAAATGCATTATATTATCTCCACCCAAGCTAAAAGTCCTGACCGTTGTTTAGAAAGTTAGTGATTTGTCAGCCTGGTTGGCTTCAGGGGCCGCCACTCCCACACCCTCCCGTGAGATTTCTCTTCCTTTTTTCGTTTACATCTCACCAAACAGCGTAATGGTCTGAAAGTTTGTTTAGTCCTTTGAGCTCCTTTATCACACGGAGATGGCAAACATTCTGTTGCTAACTTGAAGTGGCTCCAAGCAGCAAGACTGCAAGGATATTAAACCAGTAAAAGCTTATCAACTGATTCATTGATATGCTGTAAATTCCAGGCTTTTCATTTTGCTTTTGAGGGCGGCCCTAAGTCAACACATTAGTAAGCAATTTGCTGACATCAAGATGGATCACTCCGAGAGGCCTCCTGGGCAGACAGAGTTCACCTGGGCACTTTTTAATGTTCGGCCTGTGCGTTGCTTGTAATGACCAGGAGTTGCTTTACATATCAATAACCCGGACTCTTAACTACTTACAAATATCTGAAATATGAGACTTGAAAGGAAAATATATGATAACGGTCATTCTCATTGAAATTGGAAATTTTACATATTTTGTCTACTTCTAGAGAAAAATATTGACCACTATTTTTTATTAAAAAGTAGTACTCAGGTGTCTTTTGGGGGGCGCTGAGAGGGGCTAGGTCTTGCCCTTCGTTTACTAAAGGCATCTGACCCATGGAACAGTGAAGGGGGTAGCAAAGGCAGGTGGGCGGCAAGCATGTGGGAACTTGGTATTTAAGAAATATTTCATAAAAGCTACACTTAGCACATGGCTTTGAAGTGGCCACAGTAGGTAGTCAATAAATACACTTAACTTTGTAAAATATTTCCCTTGCTAACCCCAAACACTTGAAGCTACAAGGATGAAGACACTCACACCGGCTCACGTTCGGAAACTTGCCTGAAGCACACACTGAAGGCTGCTCTGTACACTTATTAACACGCTGATGTCAAGGTCATGTCATAAGCTAAACACCCATGTTGTATGGCATCTCAAAACGGGCAGTCACCGCAAAACCGCTACACACGTTGCTTCTCCACCCCAAAAGGAGCATCGCCCTGCACCTCCCCCCGGTGTGCACACCAGGTGCACTTCTAATGCTCTGCCAACCTCTGCCGAAGATTTGCATTGAATGGTAAGGGCCTCACCAAATGAATGAGACTCGTCCTTGAGTCCAAGAACTCCTTCCGGCAAACAAGCACACACCAGCAAGAGAAAACAGCACCCAGCCGTGAGAAGTGTCAGAGGAAGGGCCAGAGGTGCCCTGCAAGTCGAGAGTGGGAGCTCACTTCCAACCCAAGTGTGAGAGGACAGATGCACACGGACTCACAAAGGGAGGCAGCAAGGGTGACCGGTGGCGTGGGCCCATAGGTCTTCAGCCTTCACAGGGTGTGTGGACACCATGCTGGACAAAGCGGGAGATGGGAGGGCTGTGCCAACAAGACTGTGGGCACCAAGCAAGCATCCTGCCCTATGGCCACCTCCTGGACCAGCACGCTGCCCCCACTGCGGCCTCCAGGCCGAGTGAGTGAGCAGGTGTCCAGGCTGGGTGGCCCGAAGCGGGAGCAGAGCCCGCCAGAAGAGCTGCAATTCCCAGAGCACTCACGCCACTCCTTCTCCCACTGTTCCGGGCCTTCGGTCGCTCATGGAGCGAGGGCTGATCGGCAAAGTTCAAGTTGTACAGCTGAGACAGGATAAACTGCCACTTAATAGTCTTCAGCCACCATCACACATGAAGAAAATCGTTATTTTTCTCATTGACAAAATGTCATGTAATTTAGGATTAAGTGACAACTTCGATTTTTTTGTTTTTATTTTTTATTGATTTAATCTTTATTATATTTTTCCCATTACCATTCAGTCTCCTTATATCCCCCTCCACCCAGCAATCACCACACTGTTGTCCATGTCCGTAAGTCCTTTTTCCTTTTTGTGCCATCCCCCCACCCCCTCGCCTCCCCACCACCACTACTCTCTCCACTCTCCGTCTATGAGTCTGTCTCTGTCTTGCCTGTTCGTTTTGTTGTTTAGGTCCCACTTAAAGGTGAGATCATATGCTATTTGTCCCTCTGCACCTGGCTTATTTCACTCAGCGTAATGCTCTCCAGCTCCATCCATGCCGTCACAGAGGGTAGGAGCTCCTTCTCTCTCTCTGCTCCATAGAATTCCATTGCGTGAATGGACCACAGTTTCTTGATCCATTCATGGACTGATGGGCACCTAGATTGTTTCCAGCACTTGGCTGTTGGGAATAGTGCTGCTATGAACATTGGGGTGCATGGGTTCTTTTGGATTGGTGTTTCAGGGCTCTTGGGGTAGAATCCCATCAAAAGGCAGCTCCATCTTCAGTTTTCTGAGGAAGTTCCACAGTGTTTTCCACAGTGGCTGCCCCAGCCTGCAGTCCCACCAGCAGCGCACTGGGGTTCCCTTTTCTCCTCATCCTCACCAGCACTTGTTTGTTGGTTTGTTTTTGGTGTGTGAAGTGGTGTCTCATTGTGTTTCTACTCTGCATCTCTCTGAAGCTGGTGATGCTGAGCATCCTTCCTGTGTCGCTGGGCCCTCTGTGTGTGCCCCTGGAGCCGGTCTGTGCAGGTCCTGTGTCCATGCTGTAACTGGCTTGTTCGCTTTTTGGTGTTGAGTTTTGTGAGGACTTCATAAATTTTGGACATTAACCCCTTATCAGAGGTGTCAGCCAGAAAACAGTTCTAAACAACCTATTGGTCAAAAGAAATTGGACCCGAAACCGAAACACACGGAGAACTGAACTGAGAGCGCAGCCGGGCCCAGACGGAAGGAGCGCGGCAGGCCCGCACCGCGCCGGCCAGCAGGAAGACCCGCGTCCCCAGAGCCACCTGCGGCCGGCCGCGAGCTGCGCGCGCCTTCGCCCGAGAGGGAGCCCAGATGCGCCGGAAGTCCGGCGGCCTGGCCAGGATTCCCGGATCTCAGGCCTGCGCGAGCCGGCGCCCCCGCGCGGAGAGCCCGCGGCCGGGGCAGCGCCGTCGACAGCACCCGCGCGGGGCTCCCGCCCGCAAACACGTGCTCACCGTGCCCTCGAGGCGGCGCCGGCGCCCGGGAGACGGGGGACGCCCGGGGGCGTGTCAACGCCGCGCTCGCCGCGTCAGGGGGCCCAACCGCGCGGCAGGAAAAGAGCTCACCGCGCAGGCGCAAGAGCAGCGCGCGCCTCCACCAAAACCGCGCGTCCCGAGCCTTCAGCGTCCCGCGGCCCTTTCAGAACGTGGGGGCGGGGCGTCCCCTCCCCCCGCCCGGTCTCTTGCTCGAGATCACGGGGGCCCTGGCAGGCCAGCAAGCGGGGCGTGGGCCGCAAGGCCCCGACACACGGCCGCGGGACCGCGACCTGACCAGCGCACGCCCCCAGCCTGACCGACGCGGCGCACAGCCCCGCCCGCGCCCCGCGCCCCGCCCGGAGTTCACCGACCTCGGCCACGCCCCAGGGCCGCCGTGTCCTCGCGGGCTCAGCGCTGAGGGGCTCCCGCGCCGCCGTCCGCCCGGGGCTCCACACGACGCATCCCGGCCCCACGACGTCTCAGTCCCCACAGGCACAGGGGAGAGCCGCGGGCGCCTGAGCAACGGGGCCGGAAGTCCCGCCGTGACGTCTTCCAGACCTGACGTGACGTCCCTCCGGACACGACGTACCTCCTGACGTCTCTCTCCGTACGTGCCGTGCACGCGCGGCCCGCGTCTTGTGCGGCAGCAGCCGTAGGGCTGGGTGGGCTCGCGCTGCCGAGACGTGCTGCTGGGCACAGGCCTGCGTGTCCGCGGGCGTGTGACCACCCCACGGCCCCATCACGTCCAGTGCGTGTCCTTGAGGACGAGAAAAGCCGCTGGTGCTGACGGCCGCACCGCTCCCCCTGCCCCCTGCACCGTTACCAACGGGGCGTGTGCTCTTCGTGCGTGTGACCCAGTCGGCCGCGCGGCGGAGTCCGGGTGGCGTGGCAGCCTCAGCAGCAGGTGCTTCCGCCGCCATTCGCGGCAGATCGGCCTTCCACGGCCTGACGAAGGACTGGCCACCGGTCTGCGCCGCGGACAATAGGGCCCCTGCCCGCGAGGGGCCACCGGCCTGCGCTGTCGCAGGCGGGCCGCTGGAGGAGCCCTGGAGGGAGCCCGCCCGCGTCGGACGGGCTGAAAGCGCGCCGCGCACACGGCCCGGCCCGTCGGGGCTCGACGCGGAACAAGACTGGGAAGGGTCCCCTTCGTAGCTCGCTCGACTCGACACATCGTGAAACGATAATGTCCGGGGTGTGGTGGGTCAAGTAAAAACATCACTAACAGTAACTTCACCTCTTTAAACCCTTTTTCAAACCCGGCCCCGGAGGGTTTTCGATCGCCGATGTGGGGCGGGGCCCACCTGGGGGTGCTCGAAGTCTTACTTTTCAGGAAGCTGTAACAGCCGTCGGGCTGGGGAGCTGTTGTAAGTGTACCGTGCACCTTCGCTCTGGGCCTCCCCGGCGTGCCCCCGCTGTCTCCGGTCTGTCTCATGAGATCTGCTCAGCAGCGAGTGCCGGGCCTCCCGGAACAGCCAGGTGTGCACAACTGAACCGCACCCCCGAGCCAGCCCTTCCCCGCCCCCCACCCCGGGACTCCTGGAGGCCCTGCAGCTCGGCCTCTCTCACCCGCCTCGGTGCTTCTGTGAATGCAAATATTCCCCCCAAATCCTGCAGGACTCAGGGGGAAAGGGGCAAACCATCGGCACCCAAAACACTAACGGAAACAGCCAGTCTCCATAAAAAGTCTAGTGAAGTTGAAGACCTGTCAACCTCATAATAAATCCGTATCTATAGGACTTTACGTTTTTAGAAAGGGTGGTGACGGCCTCCCACCGGAAGGGTACTTGCAGAAGGGCTGGAGCCTTCCTACTTCCAGAAGTTAAAATTCGCAGAGAGCAGGGTGAGCCCCATAGGAAAGATTCCCAAATTAGGGCCCATGGCCAGACCCGAGTCCAGAGGAGTCTTCTCTAAATCTTGGGTCAAAATGATAGTGCTTTATGGAAAGGAGCTCGGGGGGACATTAGAGACCGTATCTAAGCACACTACTGTCAAAGCAAACTTGGTACAAGTTAGAGATGCACTGTAATATGCTGCCCCCATGTCTCTGTTAGCAGTAAGAAAGACAATTTTACATCCTAAAGATCTGTTCTGTAGCAAAGGAGCAGACAGCCATCCGTCACCTGATTACATCTGCTTCTGTCCAGAGATCTGTAAGGTCCTTAGGCCATGGGGGTTTTCAAATCGTGATTTCACAGCTCAGTGAGAAGAACAGACTGAAAAACTCATTTAATAGAAGGTGATCATCTTTTTCGATTTCCCTTTTTATGGTCACGCTAAAACAGTAATTCATAATCTGCAGCCACAGCGGGAAGGCGGCTGGCCAACAGAGAGACCCACGCACCAGCTCTGGTCTGGTGCCGGCTGTCCCGGGAGCAGGGGGAGACGGTGGCATTGTGTCGCCGCCATCCTCCTCAAGCGACAGTGAAGGGTGCCAGGGCAGGATGACAGACAGCTAATTCCATAAAACTGTTGCTCCTTTCTCCTGTCAACTTTTAATGTCGGCATCTTCCTTGCTGATGCCACCAGAGCGAACAACCAGGCGGCCTTTTGGGTGATCTCTCGGCATGAATCTCCTGGGTGTGGGGTTACTGAGCAGAGAGCCATGTTGGCTTCCCAAAAAATATTACTAGAAGGCAGAGACCTGCAGGGAGTCGGTGCAGAAGGTGGTGGGAACTCCAGAAGATGCTCCCCTCCCCCTGCCCCCACCTGCCCGAGACCCCGAGCTCAGCAGGTGAGCCGCTCCTGTCCTCAGTTCACAGAGATCAGCCAGCGCATGCTCTGCTCCAACCACACGGACATCGATGAGCTCCTGGCAGAAATTGACCACTGCCTGGCCGTCAACCGCAGCGTCCTGCAGCAGCTGGACCAGCAGTGCGGCCGCAGGCTCACCGACCACGACTGGCAGCAGATCCAGGAGCAGGTAGGCGTGGCTGGGTGACCGCAGCGGCCCGGCCAACAGGGGGCAGTGGTGACCGCGGAGGGGAGACCTGGGGTCCCTTGGACCTGTGCCACCTGCTCCGGGGTGACTGCAAGGCCCTTCAGGTGGAGAGTCTGCCTTGAGGGTGCCGACCTGGGAGCGGTGAAAACACCGAAGGGAACAGCCCCACTGCGTGTCCGCCCCCCACCGTGCCCTGGCCTCCCCTTGGGTCTCCGGTGGCCGTGAGGATCCCAGCAGAGGAAACACTGACCCGAGTGTCCTGAACACGGGACACTTAGTAAAAGTGTTTCACAGCTCCACTGAGTCGTCTTCCGAAAAAGGCCACCCCGTTGCTTCAAGGGAAACCTAGATTACCAATGCTCAGCATGTTATAAAGGGTTGCCTTCAAATTTCTTAGCACGGGCGGGTGACCCTCCCCTTCCCCGTCTCACACGAGCAGCAGAGGACATGCACACACCCAGCACACCCTCGGCATCCTGCACGCAGGACGCACCTCGTTGTTTGCAGAGGGCCCGGTCTCTCGGGCACCCCCGGCCCAGCTCACACCCGCCCCCCCCCCCCCGTGTTGCAGGCGCTGCGCCGGGACACCCACGAGTGCTCCATCTGCCTCACGCCGCTGTCCGTGGGCCCCGGCAGCCCCTCGGGGGCGGGCGGCGGCGCCCCGGCACGGCCCACGGCGCTCCTGTCCTGCTCCCACGTGTTCCACCACGCCTGCCTCCTGGCCCTGGAGCGGCTCTCCTGGGGGGATGCCTCCCCCTTCCACGCCTGCCCCCTCTGCCGCTCCTGCTACCAGAAGAGGGTTCTGGAGAGTTGAGTTCACAGGAAGGAAGAACTCCCGTCATTCCGGGGCAACGTCGACCTTGATTTGGGATGGATCGTGGGAGTCTGGGGTTGAGCACTACAGTGTAAGCTGTTCTGCAGCGAAGAAAATATTTAATACTTGCACACGGGAAGCATGACGATATTTTAAAAAGTGACAACTGGCCCGGTTTTCGTCTCTAGAGAAAGCAAGCTTCAAGTTCGTGAGTCCCATCAGTTGAAGCAAGCAGGGACGGCTGAAACTGGAGTTTCTGAGGCCCTGTGCCTCGCCGACCTGCGCGCGCCCGGCAGACTGCGGGTACCTCAGGACACCACGCGCCTGCCCACTCCCAGGCCAGCCAGCCGGCTCCCTGGCCAGCTCACTAGGCTCTGGGCAGCCCCTGGGGGCGTGGCTACTGCCCGTCACAGGTGACCCGAGCCGGGTCGCCAGAGACTGCCCAGGGCCTCGTGGCCCCTCCACCACCGGAACACTCTCTGCAGGAACTGCTTCCCTCCTCTGTGTGACACGTACCTCTTAATAAATAAACCATTTGGCACTAGGAGACACTCAACCACTTTTTCACAACTCAGGGCCCCACCGTTTGAGCTCAGCCCTGACGAAACCCATAACCTCTTGATGGGAAGTGTCCTGACCCCAGGGGGCTCTCCCCAGGAGCAGGGAGATGAGGATGGCCAGGGACAGTTGTGAAGGCTGCACACCCAGCAGCTGCAGCAAACAACGTCCCAAGTCCCAGCAGCGGGACGAGGGGATGGGGGCGGGGGGGGCGGGCAGCAGGTCTGCTCTCAGCAGCCGCCACTCACGTCTCTGTCCAGCTCATGGCTCATGGCTGGTGGCCCAACACCCCCTGTGCCCCCGGTCCCCAGTGAGTGCCCTCACCTGCTGGGAAGGGCAGGCGGTGGTCTGCAGGCCACGCTTGGGTGTCCGGGACCACATCGCTGCAGCCCCAGCACCCAGTGGCACGAGGCAGGGAGCCGGCGGGGTGGGGGACCCACAGGTAGACAAGCACAGGTGTGCCGGTGTCCAGTCCCCAAGCTGTGCGGGGAGGAAGCTGAAACGCACCTTCCCGTCTATTATTTCTCTCGTCCCTTTGAAACAGCAGTCTGGTCTGTGGCTGCTATCGCCTGCACCCGTCACTGCTGAGTAAACGCCCAAGCGTGTCACCTGAGGGGGCTCCCGTCACCCGATGCGCAGGCTGACTCAGAGGACGGCAGGCAGCACGGAGGCCGGCAGTGCCTGGGGGTCTCTCGGTGGCAGCGGGGGCCCACTGGGGCGCCGTCCCGGGCATCTGAGGCCCTCTCTCAAGTTGCCCACGAGTCCGTGAGTCCGTGCCCACGTCCTTCCAGGCAGGTCCTCTCCCGCCGAAACAGGCTGTGCTCACTGCTCTTCTCCCCACCGAGGACTCTCCTGACACCGGGATGAGCCTCGGGAGCGCCAGAGGGAGGGAACCTGGGCCAGCCACCGCGGGGCGGAGCCAGGGAAGCCCGCCTGTGCAGGGGTGACCACCTGTGGCCACCCGGTCATTTCCCGTGGAAGGCCGTCAGGAGCGGCCCCCCACCCAAGGTGTGAGGACACGCAGCTGCAGCCACGGAGCGATGACAGGATGTCATCTGCTGCTCTGGGCAGCTTGGAGGTGGCAGTGCAGCCCCGGGCCAGGTCCCAGAAACCACGGACTTTCACAGGATCCCGTCCCCGTGTCAGCCAGCCCAGGGCCAAGAAGGAGGTGGGGCCCCGAGGAGGGGGGTGCGCTGGAGGGCTCAGCAGAGGGAATTCTGTGGTGCTCCTTCCGTCCCCCCTAACCCACAAGTCCCTGGAGTTGCTTTAAAACAGTGTTTCTACCTTTCCAGGTGGATGTGTGTCTCATTACTATTCGTTGATCCCCACCTGAGGATATGCTCATTGATTTCAGAGAGAGGGGAAGAGGGATGGAGAAACGCCAGTCGGCTGCTGCCCATACGCTCCCTGAACGGAGACGGAACCCCCGACCCGGGTGTGAGCCCTGCCCGAGAACCGATCCTGCCACCTCCTGGTTCACGGGACGACGCTCCAACCCACCGAGCCAGCCCGGCCACGGCTTTGTCACTGTGTTGCCAGTACACCGCAGTTTCGTTCCGTCTGACGAGGGAGCGGACTCTGCCGCCACCACAGGGCCGCACCCCCCACTTTCCGGCCCGGGTGTGCTGGTCTGCGGGGGCCCAGGGGGGTCGGCTGCTGGCCGAGACGTAGGCCCGGGAGCTCTGCGAGCCAAGGGCTGCGGCAGCAACCCGGCAGTGGCAACTCAGGTGTTGGCACAAGGATGGAGGCAAGCTCAAGGACTCGGCGCACCTGCGCCCATTCTGAGCCCCCGGGAGAGGGGGGCGTCTGGCCACACGCGCGCCGTGTCCATGACTCAAAAGCAGGGCCAGTGCTGAGGGAAAGAGCAATGGTGTCTCCGGCTGAGGAGCGGGCACCGGGGCGGCCTGGGGCAGCAGCGCTGCTGGAAGCCGACTTCTCCGGTCCCTCAGATGTTCCATGGCCGTGACAGCCAGGCCCCGTCCCCTCAGGAAGGCACTGGGTGTCCTCAGAATCTCCTATCTGGTTACACTTGAACTCGAAAGACGTTTCCCCACGTCTTTCAGTCCAGTGCTGAACTACACAGCACTGGAGGCTAAGTCACTTCTCCCTTCCCTCTCTAGAAATAAATAAAATCTTTAAAAAAAAAAAACTACTTTAGGAATTCTGCCTTTGTTCATTAAACACGGTGCAGACAAGGAAGAAAGCCCCATGGGGCTCCCAACCACGTGCCCGTGCTAGGGCAGACCCAGGGCGACGAAGGCCACAGGCAGGTGTGCATGCCCCGGGCACAGGTGTGCACGCCTCGGGGGCGCGCCTGGGAGCCAGCAGCGAGGGGAGGCCCCGTCGCGCCCGCCGTGGGGCGCTGAGGAGCTGACGTGCGCGGGTGTGCGCGCACTGCGTGCTCGCGGGTCTGTCTTGCAGAGGAGGCACACAGAGCCACATCAACATTGCACCCGAGAAGCACCTCGGGCAGTCACCACAGATGCCATCGTCTGCGAGTTTCGTAATTCCAAAATAATTTATTTAAATATGCAGAACCAAGTAATGAGAGGAGTGGGCTAGTTCCCGAGACAGCTGCAGCGCCCTGCCTGTTGCCGCCGGGGACGCACTCCCCTGGCAGCAGCGAAGCGGCGGCTCCCCGCCGGCCACCACCGCTGCTGGGGAGCCAGGAAGGCCGCCTCTGCTCACCAGTGCCCCTCGCAGGCGCCTGCCGCTGACCCAACGCGTCCCTGGACACCCCCCACGGGGACGAGTGGCCAGGCGCGTCCTTGTCGGCAGGGCCTGGCCTGGCTGCTGTCGTGCGGGACACCGGGGCTCACAGCGGGCCCCGGGGCAGACACTCCGGGAGCGGGAGCACGAGGAAATGGCAGTGCTGCCTCCCGGCCCGGAGGAGCTCGGGCCCCCACGGAGGCACTGTGACCCCGGACCTGCTGTTCACACGGAGAAGCTGAGGCTCACTCCGCAGCGCGCGGGCGTCTCACCAGCGGGCAGGAGCGCGCCCCTGCACGTGCCCGAGGCCGGCGCGACCTCCCCGAGATAGCCCTTTACGACGGACGTCTCCTCCTCCTCTCCGGTGGCCCGTTCTGCTCCAAGGACGGACTGCGAGCCAGTCTCGGCGGAAAGCAAAGTCTGCGACTGACGTGCTGACCTCGGTGCGGCTCCCGGAGACACGAGAGCGCGGCCCGCCTTCCTCACCGCCCTCAGCGTGCGGGGCCTGTGCTGGTGGTCAGCGGCGCGAGAGCTGCCGGCTCCCGAGTGCCGTCGTCCACACTCGTGCGGTGCTCTCCCAGAGAGTGGTCACGGGACGACACGCAGACGCACACGCAGGGCAGGTGCAGTCGGTGGGGCGTTCACACACTGATCGGTTTTCCTGCACGTTTGGCTCTAAGTGGACACGCTTTATGTAGGACGTACGCAGCCTGGTTTTCATCGTTTCTCCCCCAAAAAGCTTCAGATGCAACGGTTTGAGGAGAAGGGCCTTGTGCTGCGGTGGAAGCGCAGACGGCCCGCCCCCCACACGGCGCACATGAGAACACGCGGGGACTCAGGGCCGCCCGCGGGCTCTGAGCGCACGCCCTACGGACCTCGGCCCCCCTCGGACACCAGCACGGGGCAGCTGCGCTCAGCGCCCTCGGGCGAGAGACCTGCCCGGAGCCCTCCACAGACGGGCGACGGGAAGACCGTCTGTGTGGGCGCAGGGCAGGGTGGCTCTGCCGTCCCGGGCGCCAACGCAGTGCGCTTGGCGTGGGACTGGCCACGGCCACGGGCCTGAGGGGTGAACTGGCGAGAGCTGCGAGGCCGGCCGCGCCCAGTGGAAGAAGGGGTCTCCGCCTCGGCGTGGCCCGAGTGCCTGGCGGGCACGGGAGCGCGAGGGAGCACAGCACCGAGGGTGCGCACAGCCTGGAGGGCAGAGTGCAAGGGGCCGTGGACCGTGTCCCCACACTGGCCCCAGTGTGGGGCCCCGGGGCTCAGCAGTGGGCAGCCCCCGCTCTCCCTCGACTCCCGGCCCCTTGGCGCCCCGTGACGTGTGGCAGGGCTGCGCGTCGTGCCCGCTCGACGGATGGGAGGGCCCCGCAGGCCACCGCTGCCGTCCCCCACGCCACCGCACGGGCCCAGGGTCCCCCCTTCTGCATGGCCTTGGCCCCCCGTCCCGGCAGCAGGGCCGCGGCGTGCTGCGACCTGCCCGAAACAGAGGGTGGCCCGAGTGAGGGTCTCCTGAGTGGGGGTCTCCCGGGCCGTCGCACACAGGGGCCACTGCGGGGCGTGAGCCGGTGTGGGCGTGGGGCAGGCCCCCACAGGGAGCTCCATGGAGAGGAAGGGCACCCGCGACAGTGGGGCTCCCGTGGGGGACGAGAAAGTGGCCGCAGCCCTTGCGAGGCGTTCATCTCGGGCGTGCCGACAGGCCGGGCCAGGTCTCTGGGCCGAGGAGCAGGCGTCACAGGGCTTTCTGGTGCCCGTTTGCGGATGGCCTGGCCGTCTCTGCGTCCCTGCAGGCCGTGGGCAGGCGCAGCTTGCGGAGCCCTGCGGACAGACGGACAGACGGGAGACGGTGGTGAGAGGGGCAGGCCGTGGGGAGAGGGGACACAGGGCGGCACCCACAGGGTGGCGGGGGGACATGACGTGGTGCTGGGGACACCGGCCCTCCCAGCCCGCCCTCGGCAGCCGCCCCCCGCCAGCCCCGCCCCTCTGCCCAGGGGCCCAGCCATGGACAATGCGGTCCATCCCCGTGGGAAAGCACACGCAGGAGACACACCAGAACAGGGCCATGGCTGAAACAGGCAGGCGGTGGACGCGCTGCCCGAAGGGAAGGGGAGAGGAACGCAGTGACCACGTGTAACGCTTCACTCCCCAGAGACCCTTCAGAGACGAGAGTCCCCCGTGGACTCTCGCACAGCAGTCGCTTGCGTAGAGCACCTCACTCAGGCCGGCCCTGGCCCTGGCCCTGGGGCGGGGGGGGCCCGGACACAGGGTTTCTGTGCCGCAGAGGCCGCACTGCACTAACGAGATGGACCAGAGAGACGGGCAGGGCCCAGTGGCATGCCCACAGGAAAGGCCTCGGGACGTGGCGTCCAGCGGCTCACTCTGGGGTGAGGCTGCCCTCCGCCAGCCCCAGAGGGCTGCCCGCTGGCCACAGGCTCCCCAGGTCAGCGGGGCCAGCACAGCGCTCCGCGGTCCAGAGTCCGTCACCAGCAAGTCCGGGGGAGTGAAGGTGGGGCAGAGCCTGCCTGGTGGTGGGAGGGGGCCAGTCCCGCACCGCGCATTCTGGTCCCGGGGTGGCGCCCCACTGAGTGACAGCAGCCACCCAGCCCAGCTGTAGGATGAGGGGACAAGGCGTCCAGGGGACGAGGGGACCAGGGGACGAGGGGAGGGCATGCAGAGCACCAGCAAGGCCATCAATACTCTGGCTGACCCAGCACCCCCTCCTGGGACGGGGGGATTGCGATCGGCTCCTCCCAAAACCTGGGTGCCGCGCAGGCCGGGAGGCTGGGGGACTGCCCCATCAGCACCCTGTCCCCTGGCAGAGCTCCGAGTGTCCACCCCAGGCCAACACTCCCTGACAGCGCCCATCCAGGAAGCTGCTCGTCCAGGATGCGGCCTCAGCCACCACGCACCAGCAGACGGAGTGGGACCCGATCTGGGAAGTGGTCTCCAGGCCTGCGCTGGCACTCGTCTGACCCCGGGTCACCACGCAGACGTCACGAGGGCCCACCCAGCCTGCTCCTGGAGCTCCCCTGCCCTTCCGGGACCGTAGGGCACTGGCCACGCCTCACGGGGTGGACACGACGTGAAGTGCGTGTGAGCGGGGGGCTGGAATCTGCTTTCTTCCCCAAGGTCCCCCTTTCGGAATGCCCTGGGCACAGAGCTGTCCGGCCTCGCGTGAGGCTCCAGCTGTTGGAGAACAGGCCCTGGCCAGGCCGTCCCCACGCAGCCCTGCCCGCGCTGAGGGTGGGTGGGCTCAGACACGCAGGCTGGCACCAGGGTCTGCCCAGCGGCCGCAGCTGCCCGCCCTCGGACAGGAGAGGACACGGCCCAGACCGAAAGGCAGAGGCAGTGGGGGCTCCGAGAACGCAAAGGCCGGTACCTGTCGGCCCAGAGCTGAGGTCGGGCGGAGGATGCAGCCCGGGCCACACCGCCCCCAGCACACCCACACCGACCCGAAGCGCGTGTGACCCACGGGGCGCGCGCAGCAACGGACCCCTCTCCCTGGGCGCCGGAGGGCCAGGCCCTCATCTGAGGCGTCGTTCAGCTCAGGGAGAGGCGCTGGGTCAGCAGGGCCCGCCGACACCCAGACCTCAGCACGCCCCTGGAGGCAACCCAGCGCGGATCGGCACCAGACAACCGGCCCGCAGCGCCTTCCCCAGCTCATCGCGCAGCACCACCACGCCGAGGCACTCTGGACCCTCCCGGGGGCTGCGACCAGGCTCCGGCCCTCGGGGACAAGGTCAGGTGAACTCACAGCGAGCTGGCCTGAAACCGAGACGCCGCCACCGTTTTGCAGACGCGAGGGGCGGCTGAGGGTGTCACTCGGGGCCAGGGATGGGGCCATCTGGTGGGGAGGGCAAACACCCCGGGGTCACGCGTGCCGAGGAGCCGAGGGTTACCTAGGGCCTTGAGGAGCTCCTCCCGCACGGCCGAGGTGAACTTCCTCACCAGACACAGCGTCGTCACGACGGCGAAAAGCAGGTTGTAGGACAGCACGATGTAGAAGTTCCCCAGCCAGTTGAACCTGCCGAAGTCTCCCAGCAGGTCGAACCTGGTGATCCCTGCGGGGACACAGACACAGCCCTGGTGACCCCGGGCACGGTGTGCGCGCGGGCGGCACGGCGCAGACCACCGGACTCCACCGACTCCTGGGGAAGCCGGTCCTCCCGCCTGCCCGCCCCCCCCACCTGCTCTCCAGGGCAGGAACTGCCTGCCCCTCTGGGTGGGGGTGGGGGGGACACTGCCACTGCATGCCCCTGCGGAGGAACCGGGAGACCACAGGACAGAGCTCCCTGCCCAGACAGACTCTCCAGGAGAGTCTGATCCAGTCTGAAACGCTCTGTGCCGTGCACCGCCGCGCACGAGCCCCGAACTTGAACGCAGATGCCCAGCACACGAGGAGGTGGCTCCTCACAAACGCTGTGGGGACCGGTCTCGGGCGCTCGGGATGTACACAGACAAGACAGAGACCTGCAGTGAGCTCCGTGACAGCAGAGGGAAACGCCAGTCCCAGCAGTCTCTTCACACAGCCCGGGCCCCCTCTGGGAGTCCCCGGGGCACAGACCCCGCACCAGACACTGCGGGTGCGGGTCGGCAGTATCGGCCCCCACCCCGACCGCGGCCCGTGCTCGCTGCCGGGACGGCCCCCCACACGTGCAGGGAGTCGGGGCGGGGCGCCCACAGAGAGCGGGAGCCCACGCTCTGAACCACGGAACGGCTCTCCTAGAGCTTCTCCGTGGGCTCAACTCCACCTCTGGAGGGCCTGGGCCAAGACCTGGGCGGAACCAGCAGAGGCGTCCCTGTCACTGCTGTGCTGCCCAGTCTGGGGAGGGGGGGCATGTGCACGTGTCCTGTTGGGGTCCTCAGCCGGCCCGGACTCTCGATTCTTAGTACAAACTAGTCCCCGACTGGAGGTCACAACCTCGCTCTAATTGTCCACGTTTTAAAGCTGCACTTTGAGGCCCTGCCCAGCTGAGGGCCCCAACCTGGCGTTGTCTGCAGGTGGGAACGCCCACGACAAACCGCGCGTGCGGGGGCTCGGACATGTGTTCACAGGCGGCTGCGCCGTCTGGGCGACCTGCGGCTGTGGCATTTCCTCCGGCGAGAGGGCGAGGCCTGGGGCCAGGGCGGCGTCCAAGTGAGTGGGTGCTGGGGCGTGAGGGCAGGCGGGCGGCGGCTCCTCACCAACCTCGCAGACACTCGGGAGGCTCTGGACACTCTCGGGTGAACACCCGAACCAGACACACACGGGGTGCTCTCTGACACCAGGACACTGGTGGTCCACCAGAAGGTCACCAGGGCCACTCCCTGACCCCTTTCTGCAGAAGAGCTGAATACAGTGAAGCCATCACCAGCGTCTTCCTGAGAAACTCCCAGCACGCGGTTTGGAGTCGTCGATGTTTCTGCATCGACGTCGTAACCGGAGGTGTGCGTTACGGTCGGCGCTTCCGCGCACCCGTCCTTTCCGAGCCTCACGCTGAGAACTGAGGGGAGAGCCCAGGGCGGAGACGAGCCACGCATTTACCACACCCCAAACGACCCCCCGAAAAGGGTGGAAACTACACAGGATCCCTTCACCGAGGACAAAAAGAGAACAAACCACTCTGTGCCCTGCAATCTGATGGACTAGATGGAACCCTGAGGAGACACATGTGGATCCAACACAGAGAAGCTCAAGCCGACTCAAAGGGTGAGTGCTTTTGTGTTCAGGGCACAAGCACTTTTTTTTAATGTTTTTTTAACCATTTTTTTTTTAATTTTTAGAGAGGGAAGGGAGGGAGAAAAACAGAGAGAGAGAGAAACATCAATGTGTGGTTGCTGGGGGTCATGGCCTGCAAGCCAGGCATGTGCCCTGACTGGGAATCGAACCTGCAATGCTTTGGTTTGCAGCCCGCACTCAATCCACTGAGCTACGCCAGCCAGGGCTACAAGCACATTTTTTTAATCAGCATTTGTGTCCTGTATCACTGACCAGTCACAGAAAGAATCTGAGGATGACAAAAGAACTATAGAAATAAGTCTAGAGTAGACATTAGTGAAATACTGAAAGGTCTGCCGTTCCACTGAGAACCACGTTCTGGGTAAAGGAGATTTCAAACAAAGAACGCGGAGACACGTCGGCCGCTCTGGCGTTTCCTGACTGAGCGCAGTGAGAACACCGCAGCCACTGGACAGAATCTGCTCCAGCACAAGTCACCGCCCCCCTCCCGACGGGTGACCACAGGGCAGCCTGGTGTCCGTGGGTCAGGTACGAGGCCTGGCGGGGTCCACTGCCCCTGTCGACGTCCCCTCTCATCGCCTGGAGGGTCTATCGTTCACTAGAAGCATGGACAGCGACCCCCAGATGCTGGGTTCCTCCAAACCGAGGTCCGAAGCAGCGGCTAACAGTGTTTCCTGTGTTTCCTGTAAGTAACAACACTACCACGGACGTTAATTACATTCCACTAAAAACACAGGGTCAAAATTATTCTTGCAAACCTTTGTGGCAAGTGGTATGCTTATAAAATCTACTTGGTGGTAATTTTTCAATTAGTACAATTAGTACTAATTTTGTAATCAGCACCATTTTCAAACCCAAGACGCTACTCTGAAGGCGGTCCGTAATAAACGTGCCGCACCGCACCAGACACGTGCGTCTGAAGCTGCAGGTCGTGCCCACGGGGTGGCAGCAAGGGGAGCGGGCAAATGTCTTTGAAAGTCTCAGACCACCTAGTAGTCGACTTTCCACGCAGGACTCGATACATTCTCAACTGACAACGGAAGTCGCCGTCCTCGCTGGGACTCTGTTCCCGCGAGAGGAGAGCCGCCGGGCCGCAGGGCAGCCGGGAGGGCCGGGCCGGCCGGTGGGAGGCCGGCCGGGGCGAGGAGAGCAGAGCGCAGGGCCTGGCACTCGGTGGTGAGACACATCCCCTATTCTAGTCTGATAAGCTTTTCAGCTAGTAAATCAAAGTCCCGTTATACAGTAGGATAATATTCGTGACAATCTCTATATTTTATCTTCTTAAAATCAAAGACTCACTTCTAAAGAGTTAACAGAGGAATTACAAAGTAACTCTCAAGTTTGCATTTCCCATCAGGCTGAAATAAAGCTTTTTCTTTAGTCTAGAAACTTGCTTTTGTGGCACTGTGAAAAGCCTCCGCGCATCTGTTCAGCGCCTTTGCTCCTTTTCATCTGTTCGGCGCCACCGGCAGAGCCGGCCGGGCGTGCGTGCCGGCCGCGCACAGCACACGTGACCACCGCCCCTCCCGCACCGGCTAATCCTGTTTGGACAGCTGGGGCCGGCGTTTGTGAGCCGCGCTCTAATTGTTCCATCTTTCTGTGTCTTCCTCTTATTTATCTCTATGGCAAACTACTCAGGAATGTAAAGTGCTGATCTTCAAACGCAAATTTTACCATTAATTTGTTTTCTTTGTATTAAAACTATACTCAGCATGTAATTTTCTTCCGTAAAATCAGCAGATGTGGCTATTCAGAATTTTACGTCTCAGAGCAGGGTGAGTTTCATAAGGGACAGCGTGGCCAAGTGGCCGTAACATCACAGAAATAACTGCTGGGCTGCCGTCGCACACAGGACAATCGGCTACAGCCCGAGCTACGGAAGTGCACACTTTCGGCGTCTCCCAGATCCGCACAGGCACGCAGACGGGAGGACAGTGCTGCGAAGCCCCCACGGAAGCAGAGTGACACGACGAGCCCGTGTGCGAGTGCGGAGAGCAGCCCCTTACACGCACACGGAGACCTCGCTCCCCGTGAGGACGACACGGGTGACGAGGACGCAGAAGCTCGCGCCCACCCCGCCCGGGGCCCGAGTGGACAGCGATGCGACGGAAGAGCCAGAGCGGAGCAGGCAGCTCGGGGTCTCTGGCAGCTCCGGCCGTGAGCCAGGGCGGGGCCTGTCCTGCCCACCGGAGCGCTCTCGGGCCGAACCGAGCCTGGAGACCAAACAGAACCCTGCGGCCTCTGTCTGCAGCACCGCCCAGCCGAGCGCCGCGTGGACAGAGGCAGTACAAGGGCCGCGTGACGATCTCAGCTGCTCCTGGGACTAAGGGAAGGCCTCCCTTTGACAGACAATCACAGTCCCGTCCCCCGAGGCACTGAGGAAACCTCGGGAGGGCAGGCGCGCAGGGCCCCGGAGACAGGGCGGCCCGCCCACCAGCGTGCCCTCCCCCAGGCCCCGGCTCTCCCGCTGCCTCGTGGGCACAGCGCAGCTCATGACAAGGCGGACAGAGCTTCGGTGTGCCCCACCACACACCAAAGCATGAGCTTTTAAAAGATTTCGTGTAAGAAAAATTAGCTTGGTATTTCCTAAACATGAAGCACTTTTTAAAAAAACCAGCTGGGGTGGGGGGTGAGTGGGGGGGGCGGGAATGCAGACAACTATAATTGAATAACAATTAAATAAATAAATAAATAAAAACATAACAACAAAAAAAGCCGTTTCCTCACTAGAAATTCAGAAGCTTAGCTAGTCAGTAAACGAAAAAGCCCACCGTTTGGAGGAGACGTACTTTCAAACAGTTGAAGAAGTGAATAAACTCCGTGTGGCAGGAGTGCCCTCCGGGGCGGCCCCTCCCCCCGCCCACACAGCGAGGCAGGGAAGGAAAGGTGCAGAGCCACGTGGGAGGAACCACGGCCTCTCAGAAGCCGAGCGGGGACGAGAGCTGCGCGGAGACACGGCCCTCGGACGACAGCGCCCGGAAACTCACCCAGCGTCCTGGACATCACGGGCAGCGCGGAGCTCAGGACCAAGAGGGACACGCAGTTCCCGATGATCTGGACGAGGGGGCAGAGACACAGGCAGGTCAGCAGAACGGTGGCAAACGGAACCCGTCGCCTCTGGGAGGGCACCGCACGTCCCAGGGACCTACGCGCTCGCTGACGTCTCCAGCGCGCTGCTAACTAGAGCGCAAACACGAGAGGAACCGCTGCCTGCGTTTACGGCTCCGTCTGCGCGTTCCAGGAAAGGCCTGCAGGGCCGGGCGTTCCCGTCCCTGCACACCGCAGACGGTGCGTCCTAACTACCCACCGAGGCTGCCCGTTTCAAAGGGACCTGCCTGTTGATCGGGCAAAAAGAATTCATACGTTTCATATTTCCAACTCCATTTTTAAAGCCAACCACTGCTCCAGGTATATATAAGATCTGCTTCTAGTATATTTAACTATTATAAAGTTTTAATACCAAAAAGCTAGAAGTTCAAAACACATAAATCTAGTAACTCATAGGGTAAACCGTGCTTACTCTTTCATAAGTAAGAGCTGGAAATACTGATTAATAATTGTGATTACTTAAACTAGATGCTAAGGGTCTCAAGAACTCACAGTACTTCAGAGACACCGATAAATGGACACACAGACAAATAAATGAAGAGAAAATACGGCCTCTCTTCAAACGGGGCGACAATACGGAACGCCCCCTCAAATAAAAGGTGCCGACAGCTCTCCTCAGCGCCCCTCCGCCGTCAGCCTGTGGGAACGCGCCCCGAAGCCGCGGCCCCCGTGTGGCAGCCCCAGCCGTTCCGAAGCCAAGGCCGCATTGTAGGAAGTCAAATCAGCCTCAGCCTGCAAAACGTTTCTGAATAGGACTCTTCCGTCTTGCTTTAATTATTCAAATCTGGAATGCCTGGTCTCTGCTACTTGTAGCAACGGGGCTCTTCAGACCTCAAACAAGCCCCGTGGAACACAGTCAGCGCGGCCCGAGTGGCTCATTAGCAGGAGGTTTTCTTTGGAGGAAAAAGGGTCCTTTCAGGAGCCCTCTGCAGCCAGCGACCAGCTCTGCGCCCCGCGCCGCTCCGAGTGAATGGACGCCGTCCAAATTAAACAGAGCACAGCCTTTTCCCACTCGGTCAGCGCCCTGAAAACCTTCCAGTTGGTGTTTACGCAACGCACAAACAAACGCCCATCACAGCAAAGGGACCGTTCGGGGCGACCACTAAGTAACACACTTCGGTCTGCAAGGCAGAGGGGAGGGCCGGCGCCCGAGACTTGACCTTACCTTTGTCATGGTCGTGTCATCCTTTTTGGGAAGAAAGTCTCCAAAAAACCGGAGGCTATAGAAGCCGACGACAGAGGACACCATGAGATAGCTGTGAGAATCAAGGAAAAAGCCTCCCAGGAATGCCGGCCGCGGCCGTTCTCAGTGGTCTCCAAAGGTCTGCGGGCCCAGAGGGGACTCCAAACAAAACCCCCGGCCACTTGGAGTGCCTGGGGAAGAATGGCTTGTTTTTTCTTCCAGGCAAGTGTCTTAGTGAATTGCCACTGTCCCAGAAAACTAGACAGAAAACTTGTTAACAGACAGAATGTTCCCTTAAAGAAAGGATACAAAATCAAAATGATTTCAAGTGCGGCTCCCACAAAACCAAAAGCAGAGAGAGAGGCACTTCCTATCCCAGGCCCCTGGGGGGAAAAAGAAACTCTTTCAGAATTCAGTGACACTATTACATTCCGTTTCCCTAAAACTGTTGTTTCATAAATACAGGACGGTTGGAATTAGGGTTGTTGAACACCCTAGGATAACATCTAGACTTTAGAGGACAAATAAAACGAGACATCAGACCAAGTTCATTAACTAATTCAACCACATGTTAACAATTTTAACAAGCTCAAACCATTTCTGGTTTATCTCAAATTTAAGTTACTTATCAAAATAATGTGATTATGTGTAGTGTGAAATCCTGACTAGTCTTGGAAGAAACCTTTTAAAAACGTAACAGCACAATAGGAACCCAATATGTAATTACCTCTGCCCTGAGGCGGCCCATGAAAACCGCTCACTGAGCGCGGGCCCCAAGCGGGCCCAGCGCAGAGGGCGGCGGGAAGCGAGTGTGCACGGCCCTGTCTGCGCCGCTGGGGCTCCCTGGCCCCGGCCCCCTTGGAAATTCAGAGTTTTAAGAGATACAGTAACCCAATGAACCCCGATTTTTTTAAATGTAATGCTATAAATTTTTTCCTAAACATCACACCTATTCTCAAAACCTATCTTTATCTATGACTTGAAAAAACAACAAAGAGAAAAGTAGTATATGTCAGTGAGACCAAACAGGCAAAAAATTATTTCTTACTGAAGAAGGAATGACATTTCCACAGCTTACTAACTAAAGGAACTCTATGAGTATGAACGACCTGTTTTACTATCGGCCTCTATTAGGTCTAACAGAAATACCAGGATAGTTTAGAACGTTTAGTCACGCTCTGAAAAAATAAACTGATAAATAATATAGTAAGTATCTTGTCCTGGCTGGTGTGGCTCAGTGGACTGAGTGCCGGCCTGTGAACCAAAGGTCACTGGTTCGATTCCCAGGCGGGGCACATGCCTGGGCTGTGGGCCAGGTGCTCAGTTGTGGGGGGTGGTGAGAGGCAGCCAAGTGGTATCTGTCTCACACGCCAATGTTTCTCCCTCTCGTTCTCGCTCCCTTCCCTCTCTCTAAATAGTAAACAAATAAAACCGTGTGTGCGTGCGTGCGTGCGTGTGTGTGTGTGTAAAGTGTTTTGCATACATCTTAGTTTCAGTATAAAGAAATAAGCACATCCACGGGAATCCCATGCGTAACTAAGGACAGAGAGTTTCTCGGCGTCTTGCCGATCCTCTGAGGAAGGCGACCGATGCCAGCACCAACAGAAAGCACACCGACCGGGACGGGGTTCGGGGCAGACCCCAAACACGCCGAGGCAGCACGTCGACCACTTCAAGTCGGTCACTGGAGGAGCCGCCGGCGCCAGAGCCCCTGCCCTTCCCTCGTCCCCCAGCCCAAGCAGCACAGCGCCCTGGCGGGGGACAAGGGCGCTCTCAGGGCCAGAGGCCGCGGGACGGACTCCGTCGCTCCTTTATCAGTTGTTAACCGAGACACAGACCCGTCGCCTCCCGCGGCCCTCCCAAGCAACGGCTTCTTTGTCTAGAGACGGTGCTCTGACTGAGTCCGCCTTCACAGGCCCCGGCCGGCTCCTGGGGCCTCCCTCCCACGGGGCCTCCTCGTGTGCGTGCGTAACTAGGTGCGGCTTTGTCCTGCTTCTCCGTGCCGCGTCAGTCTGGTTCCGAGGCCAGCCAGAGGAACCTGGAAGGGCAGAAGTCTTCCTCCCCAGCAACCGGGATGAGCAGCACGCTGGGAACATTCCGTGTCGGGAGCAGGGGCACCTGACCCACTTACACAGCCACCAAGGGGCCCGCCAGGGATGGTCCGCCCCGCTGGGTGCCGTGGGGGGGCACGGAGCCTGCCGGGGGACGTGGGACTCACTCCCCGGGAGTGCGGTGCACAGGAAGGGGCTAAAGAGGGGACAGAGGCCACCACCACAGGTGACCTCTGGCTCTACTGGCGGGACGGGGTCTGAACCGAAGACCAAGGCCAGGCTGTGGGTGAGGGGGCTGCTTCCTGCTGCGACCTGTCCGCGGGGTGAGGCACCGAGGCCCGCGGGTGGGCCCACGCTGGTGCAGGGACAACGGCGGTAACCGCCGGTGCGGGGCCCTGGGAAGGGGTGCGGGGTCCACAGCGAGACTGTGGCCACAGGACTGGCTCTGGGAAGAAGGGGGTCAGCGTGGTGGACTGAAGGGAGGGACCGAGACAGACAACGGCCTCTCTCCCTGAGAGGAGGGGTCTACCCTGTGGTTCAGAGACAGGAGTGCATCGGGAGTCTGCCCGAGTCCGGAGTCACTCCTATGGGGAGGGGACAAGTGGCTGGCTTAGAAAATATACTGAAATGTCAAAACTAAACTGCTGCTTTATCCAAAAGTGTATAGAAACGCCTAGAAACACAATGCCAAATATGAATATTTAGTTGTAATTATCTTCTTTTTTTTAATTTATTTACTTTATTTTTAGAGAGAGGGCAAGGGAGGGAGAAAGAGAGGGAGTGACACATTTCATTGATTGGCTGCCTCTCACACGCCCCCTACTGGGGACCCGGCCCACAACCCAGGCATGCGCCCTGACTGGGGATCAACCAGCGACCTTTTGGTTCACCGGCTGCCACTCAACCCCCTGAGCCACACCAGCCGGAGCTGTAATTACCTTCTTTACGGAAAATATATTCAAATCAGGTAATTGACAGAATTTAATAAAATTATCCATTTTTAAATGAGAGGAAAGTTAATTTATAAGAAATATACCTGACTCTGCTCCAGTAACTGAGTGCTTCTACTCGGTGTCATAAGACGTATGATTCTTTTGAAGCAAGACTCCCTTCAACCACACATTTAAACCTTTTGCAAACCCACTGAATCCGCTTAGTCTCCTCACATGTCATTACTTCACAGAGTCCCGGGCAATGAATCTCAGTGAAACAAAGATAAATTCCCATATGAAGTGCAAGTGAAACTCTGATTCTTGACCGAAGGTCCAGGCAACCCAAGCCAAGAGGTCAGCGACAAAAACCTTGGTTTCCCGGCCCCGTTTGGGAAGGCTGCTCACATAAAGACACTCACACACCGGGAAGAACACGCGGGCAGGAAGGCACCTGTCTCCACTGGCTGATCCGGAACAGGACGTACACACACGACACTCTTGCAAAAGAAAGGCGTTCCAAACCCTGCACCTTACCCTCGTGCCCTTTGGCATGGCTGTTTCGTCGACCAGCAGGCGAAGAATGTTGCAGGCCACCAGGAGCACCGAAATGGACTGCAAAACAGAAAGTCGGTTATCAGTGCTCCGGCCCCAGGCCGTGTTGCCAGCACGAACACCTTACGTGTACCGTGTATGTGGCCATCCGACCACATCCTTCAGGAAAGAGGAGAGGTGGCCAGGAGCGCGGTCTCACGCGGGAGCCTGGAGTGACCCGGCTGTGCGCGGTCACTCCAGAGGGGATTCTGGAGGGCCCTGTAGGTGACTGCAGTCTCAAAGCTCGGGAGACAAGCTAGAAATACAGATCCATTTACTGCTGACTACCTTCCCCCCCGGAAACCCAAAACTGCCCAGATCTGCGGGAGGGCTGAGATGTCACCGGAACCGGTCTCCTGGCGTGGGTTCCGCACCGCGTCACAGAGCCTGCGGCGGCGGCGGCAACGCCCTGCCCCTTCTCAGTGGTTAAGGAGACGGAAGGACAGACTCCCTGGTTTCGTGAAGGAGCCGAGAAGCTTGAGGACCTTTCCCGATCACCGTGACTGGTCCCTTTTGCTCTGCCGAGTGCTCTCGAACAGCGGCACCGATGCCTTTAACCTCGCTGACAGAGACCAGTTTCCCCGGACCCGCCCTGGGGGCTGCCCCGCGCGCACGCGGTTGGCGAGGTGGGCGTCACGGCCACGCCTGCTCCCCGAGGACAGGCCGGGCTGCGCTTACGGTCACAATGAGGAGCAGGACCATGACGGCGGGGTACACCAAGTTTCTTTCCCACGCCGACGCCTTCTTCCGCCGCTCTGGTGGAAGGAGAGACGACAGGACGAGGTCTCAGAGGTCGCCCAAAGTCATCTCCTGGCGCACATTTTCATTCCTTACCACTGTAACCAGCATGTGCTACTTTTACGCAAGTTGTTTTTTAAAAAAATAAAAGTTTCCTTTACAAATTGTGAAAATCAGAGTTTTAAAATCAGATTGCTACATTAAACAGCTCAACCCTGCGATGCTTGAATTTTAGTTCTGTAATGAGATCAGCTGTTTATTAACAGCTTGCTCTGAAGAAATGGAGAAACACTTGTCTGTGACAACAGACCTACACACTGATTGAGATCTGAATGCATAAGTGGGAGCAGTAACCCCGCCCCCCGAATCCCATCTCCCGGAGGCACACACTCCCCTTTCCTGAGGGCTGAGCGTGAACGGGAGTCCAGCTCGTCACTCCGAGGTCCACCCCCACCGTCACGGCGACCCGCACACCGCAAACAGCCGGAGAAGGGACTAGCTCTTCAACAAATCTGCAGAAGGGACCAGAGAGCCCCCACGACAATCGGAACGGAGGGCCCGGTGGTCTGTGGACGAATGGAAATGAGCGTGCCCCGCCGCGCCGTGTGCCGGAGGGCACTGCCCACCCCCTGGGCTGAGAGCTAGCGGAAACCGGGGGCGCAGGAAGCCCACGTCGCTACGGCGGAGCCTCCCGCACACTCAGCAGGGCCGAGGACACAAAGACTGGCGTTAGGGGCGACCGCGGCGGCCAGAACTTGAGCCGTGGGGCCCAGGGAGAAGAGGAAGGAGGATGAGCATCTGCCAGGCAGCCGCGGTCCCCGTCAGGGCCTCTTGGTGGCGGGCTGGGAGCAGGGGCAGGAAGGTGCGGCTCCGAGGCGAAGCCAAGCGCAGCCCCGTCGGGCTCCTGGCCCTTGAGGGGAGGAGAAAACCGGAGCTCAGGGCCCACAGGGAGGACGGCGTGACAGCCAGCAACCCACGGCCGGCTCTCGGGACCCGGGAGAAGCCCTGTGCCAGGAGCAAGGCCGCGGTGGCGCCAGACAGCGCCGGTGAACGCTGACGCCCAGCTCGGACGACCTCCGGCCACGTCTCTAAGCGCCGACCGGGAAGCACCGGCAGGAAGCTGTGCAACACGCACAGGGCCTCCTGTGTGATCAGAGCTGCCCGTGCGTGCAAAAAAGCACGGGGCACAGTAAGCCGGCTGACCGAACTTCTCCGGGACTCACACGGGTGTCCGGGTCAGCAGACAAAGACACTGAAAGCACCGCCGTCACTGCACCCCGCCCGCGCAGAGAGGCGCGGCGCTGGACTGCACGCGCTCACGGGGCGGGCAGAGGGTGCGGAGCAGGCCCAGGCAGAACCTCGGGAGTGGGGGACCGCGGTGCCCGGGAAGGGCGCTGGGTGGCACCCAAGGCAGGTCCGATGCTCGGGAGAAGATGGGTGAGCACGCAGACACAGCGCGGAAGCCACCCGCACTGACACACACCGAGCACACAGAACACGGGAACAGCAAGGGGACGCCCCTGAACTTGGGGGCCACCTCTCGGAGCCCCTGGGAAGGGAGGCACAGACAGAAGAAGAAGAACTATTTGGGGGAGTAATGGCAAAACCTGTCCCCGTCAGATGGGAACGATAAACTCCCAGGTCAAAAGGAAGGCAATGACCCCAGAGGACGGGAAACCGAGAAAGCTGCTGGGAGCACAGAACCATCACGCCGTCCGCACTGGGACGGAGAGGGTCTGAGAGCAGATGCAGGCCCGGTGGGAGACGAGGAGGGCCAGGACGCCCTGGGGGGGTCCGGCACGCGGGAGACGGGGGAGCAGCACCTGTGGGCGTGGGCCTGTCTGCAGAGCCCGCTCTGCACACGCACACACACGCACGCACACACACACGCGCGCACACACACTCACACACGCACACGCACGCACACACAACAGAAAGAAGTGAGTGTAAACGCGTGCTCGGCCTCGGCCCAAACCCACACACAGTCTTCGTCGATGACTGGGGCCGGAACGGAAGCTTGTGATACAAACAAACAGTTCACAGCTTCTGAGTATTTCAGACAGGAAAGTCTTCAGTAAAAACCAAGACCAAACAGGAGTCAAGGGAAAAACGCACAATACCCAATTTCGTCTTCAGAGCCCTCACGTTCTCCAGCTCCTGCTCCTGCTCCCGCGGCTCCGCGCTGTGCTCCGCTGACGACGACCGGCCTGCGAGGGGCAAGAGCACGTCAGAAGCAGAACGCCAGAGCTCGGAGCCCAGAACGGGCGGCCCCCACCCCTGCGGTCAGCTAACACGCAACAGTGGGCCCTGGGAACCGGGACCCCTGAGGGGGGACACACAGGCTGCCGTGACCCACAGGAAAGGACATCCTTTTTTTTTTTTTACCACAGAACACTTCCAAGTGCGACACGTTTCCTAGAAGATGTGTCACTTTGGTAAGATTCTTACTCCATCTATCATTAATCTGCATCAGTTGTAAAAGTACCTCGTGCTCGTTATAAAGAGGAAATCAAGGTCCCCTTCCAGCCCCCCCTCCCTCCGCAGCGACCACAACTACCAGTCGGGGGGCCCTCCCGCACCGGCCGCACCTCCGGGCGCACAGCCGCTCCCGTGAGCCTCCCCCGCCCATGTGGACTCGGTGCCCGGTCCATGAGCAGCAGTCAGTCCGCCACGTCAGGGCGCCCGTCCCTCCCAGTCAGTCGCACGCCCACGTGGCCAGGGCCGAGGGCCAAGTCCTAACGGCCGCGTGGTGTTCCCCAGCCTGGACGCCCCTCCGTTGCATTCACAGTCACTCCACCCGCGACTACGCACGTCCTCCTCGGCGCCATGCCGCCACGGGCAACGCGGCAACAGGCAGCTCTGCACGCGCGCCAGGGCGTCCCGACTCACTCGTCTCCGTGGGACAGGTCCCCGAGATGCAGGCTGCTGAGGCGGAGGGCGTGATCCTCTCCGGGTAAGGGACATTGAAGTTCACTTCCCTTCCCACGTCACAATCTATTATCGTGCCCAAAGTTAATGTCGCAATTTACACTCCCAACAACAGCTTTGAAGGCATCTATTTTCCCATCTTCCCTGACACCGGATGTTGTAACTCTTCAGTTTCTGCCATCTGACTTGTCAAGGCGTTTCCTTATTGCTGCGTGCACGTGCACCCCCGAACGTGGCTGCACGCCCTTTCACGCGCACCCAGCACGTGGGCTCCCCCTCAGGTGTTCTGCTCGCTTCTCTGACGGTCCGTGTCTCTCCCCGGTCTTTCCGCGTCACCTGCCGAGTTTGGAGACGGGAAGGTCGCACCCCCGTCACAGCCTCACTCTGTCAGGCCCCCCATGGTTTTGTCTTTGTTTTGAGACAGACACGGGTCTGTGTCTGTCTGCGTCTGTCTGTCCCTGCGAGGCTGGGCCATCTTCGTCACGTGACGCCCCTCCTCGTGTCTGACGCTTCCCGGCTCAGATCCTGTCTGTGCCTTGAGCTCCACGCTCTTCCTGTGTTCGCCTGCCTCGCGCACGCAGGAGAAACGGAGACGGCGTCAGGTCAGAGACACATGGGCGCCTACTCTGCGGGGTGCGCCGTGCCGATCACACTCCCCTGGACACCCACGGCTGGACCGGCCTCCGAGGCGTTCGGCCCACAGCAGGGGGCCGTCCTCCCCGTCCGCCGCGGCTGCGCCCGGCCCACCCAGCCGGGCCAGACCCGCCCTCAGACGGCGACACACCACCCGGAGGGCCGGCGGTCCCTGCTCTCGGGGACAGGGTGCGACGTGGACAGGAACACAGACTCGGGGGGGCAGGTGCCCTGGGGGCCTCGGGGCCCTTCTCCGAGCTGCAGCCCTGCCCAGGTCCCCAGGAGAGGTGAGCGCTGCCCCTCCGCCCGTCACGGGGGACGGACACCCAACACCCGCCCCCTCGGGGAGCCGGGGGCCGAGAACGCCCCGGGTGTTCTCAGTGTCCCCAGAACCCGAATGTGATCATCTCCCGTGTCAACACACAACTTACGGGGGAACAGGGGCGAGCACGGAGCCGAGATATCCGGGAAGTGTGCCCCCCGACTACTCAATGTTAACTGCAACTCTGGCTCAGGGTTTCTGGCAGCCAGAGCGAAGAGGGGAACCATCGTGTTGCAGGGCTAGCGGGTGTTTCCACACAGCAAGGACTTCACAGGGAGGTGGCACAGCACTGCAGGGTGTTCCAGTGTCTTTGACTGTAACGGCCTTAGGAAGCACATTTTCCTTTTCACCCCACTCTGCGTAAGTTATAGGGTGTGTTTCTGTAGTCAGTGCTCATTTAAGTTCTGATCTGATCAATAACGAATACAGTTCCACACTGTGACCCCTGCCCTGGACCGGTGAAGAAGTAGTGTCCCCGCAGCCAGTTCCGTGCCCAGACACAATCCCACGGGCATCCGGGACTCTGAAAGGGGCAGGGACCAGGGTAAACTATGTTGCTGCTGCCGCTGCTGCCACCACTTCAAAGACACAGGGCAGAAGTGCCTCCCTCGTGGGCACGGTGTCTGCGAACCTCGGCACAAACACCTGGACCAGCCCAAGCATCATCTTCTGAAGGAAACAGCAGAAGCGGCGTTTCTGAAACACCGTGTGCTCGCTCCGGGCGACACGATGCGGGGCACACAGTGGGCGGTTGGTAAACACCGACGTCACACCAACACCAAGAAAACACTCGCACTGTCTGCAAAGAAACCGTGCTTCCAGTGCACGACCAGGCTCTTGGGGAGCGAGAGGCCGCAGAGACACTCCCGCCGTCCCCGTCCCCGGCACCGCAGCAGGCAGGCCTCGGTCCGGGCGGGGCCCCACGGCCGGCCGGGGAGGAGCCCCGCCCACCGCAGACGGCGCTGGAATGTGACAGGGGCTCACCAACGCCACCACGGAGACACCCCGAGGAGCGGTGCCACCGCCACCCCGTCTCAGGACAGCCCCAAACGGCCACGGCAGCTCTGTCTAGTCAGTCAGCCGAACCGGTAGACGAAACCTGTTCGGGCGAGTCGGGAAAAATAAAAAGGGATTCTCCAAGACAACCACAGGCAGCTCACTTAAGGTCAATTTAACGGTATTATTCTGTTTTCCTTCCAGCCTCGACACAAGATTTCCCTACCTCAAAGGAAACTGTAAGAGTATCTATTTGCATTCCCCCAGGTGATTGGCAGTTCAACACCAATTAGTTCAAAATTACACTGTTACTAGCGTGCAATAAAAACAATACCTTTCATCTTCCTTACATCGGGAAGGATGACTTCAGAGCCAATAACTTTGATCAAGTAAGTATTTTTGATCCTGCCCCACCCGTCGCTTTGGACTCGGGAAAACCGACAGCTGAAGGCAACCTCCCCCGGCTCGACTCCGCGGCTGGCAGGCGCGCGTGCTCGGGGGATGCTCTGCTGCTCCGTTTCCAAGAAAACAGCGCTTCCCAACGCCCAGCATCTCCCCCTCCCACCACCGGGCTGTCCGTGTGTCTGCTCTCCACACACCAGACAGCCCTGACGGACAGACACATGTTCAACGGCAGACAGGAACTATTGGGCTTAAAATACACGATGCCTGATTTCTCCAAACAAATCTGCGTCTCCGCTCGGGTGTGCGAACCATCCCAAGCGGGCAGCAAGCCGCCCACCCGTCTCCCTGGACAGCGCGGCGCCCTGCACGCAGTCTCCCAGGGAGCCGTGCGTGGGGCAGGTGCTCCTAGGACAGGTCATTTGCTCACCTGACTTTTTAATTTAGCATGTAGCCAAAAAAAGTTGATCAGAAAACCTGTCACCTAGTAGTAACTCCTTAAAATCTGGATCCCGTTCAGCACCGCCAGCTGACCAGGGCGCTCTGCAGCACCAGGAAGGGAAAACCCCTCAAGTCCTGCTGGTCACGTCCAGCCGCTCAGGCAAACGCTGCTGCGCCGCCCTGGACCCCCCCACAGCCCGCCGAGCGAGCGCACACCTCCACACTCCCGCCCCTCGGGCGCCTCCTCCGCCCCACCCGCGCTGGGCCTGGCTCCCCGCAGCGGAGGCGCCGGCCCGCACACCCTGGCGCTCCGGTTCTCCTTCTGTTCCCCTCGCAACACGATGCTGGCTTAGAAACAGTTTCCGTTTACTTCTGGCATATCCACAGGTATTACATCCAACTCCCGATATCCAGCACAACCTTGGAAACGCAAATGTGCCTTCGTCGTAAGTGACGGCAAGCAGGGTGGACGACGCTAAGCGACGGGCTTCAGGGCCGCCCGCGGCGCCACGGCAACTGAAGCAACCAGACTTTAGATACCAGTCCCCGGTCGACGTCACAGACCGTAACCCAGGTTGCTCCTCGAACTTCCTGTGCCTGTGCGTGCCCGTCGAGAATGCCGCTCTCCACACAGGCTGCGCCTGAGCGAGCAGCTCGTGCGAACACACTCGGCCGCCCACACGGGGCGGTCCTGCTCTCCGGACCTCAGAGGCCACTGCCGCCCGACTCAGAGCTGCGTCCCAGTGGGTCGCTCCGCAGTGCTCCCGCCCGGGGCGTGGCAAGCGAGCTTCCCTCTCTTCAGTCACATCGTCTCGTCTCGTCTGGCAATGAAGGGCCTGCCTGGGCCACACTCCATCGTCACTAGGAGTGGCAGCAGGCCCCGTGAGCTGGATCAACTGCAACAGGGCGCCTCTCTGGCTCAGAACTCCAGACCCAGTGGGGGGTGCCCTGAGATAGAAACCGTCTAACGAGCATCACCCGCAGAGCAAGTGTCCTCTTCTGACAGTGAGCGCAGGAGTCAGGACGTGTCTCCGTCATGGGAAGGCCGAGGAAGGGGCCCCTCCTGCCACCAGTCTGGCTCCACGTCCTCGTGAAAGCTGACAGGTGACCACCTCCGGCCTGTCTAAACGCAAACCTCTCTCGAGTGGCCCAGAGGGTACAAACTTGAGGTGTCTTCACTTCAGCGCTGTAAGCAGCAGTAAAGAGTATCCTTAGGGTAGCTGTTGCAGACTTTAGACACTCAGTCCAGATAAAAGTGCGACGCACTTACGTACGAGAACATGGGATAAAACCAGACCGAAGTTCCCTCACATCGCCAGCGGTGTGCGGAGAGGGACACCAGACAGGTGGTGAGCAGAGGGGCCAGCTGCCCCGCCCGGGGAGGCGGGCGACGCCCTGTCGGGGCACCACGGGGTCAGGAGAGCAGGCGCCCACGCCCCCCTGCACCTCGGCGTCACCGAGGCCAGCTCAATCCATTGCGGACGGCGAGATTCGAGGACAGAGGAGGACAGTGCTCCTGACCGGTACTGAGTTCCGTGGAAAGGCTGAGGTGCTCTGGCTGGCCACCCCTTCCGCTCCCAGAGCACAGAGGGGTTCCATGCGACTCGGAGCAGACGCGGAACAGGTGCGTCTCGTGCGCCCCTGAGAACACAGAATTAACCGCGCTCCAGCGGCACAAGGCTCCAGAAAAGATCAGAATCAAGCAGGGAAGTAACTGCTGCCGAGAGTGATACACTGACTTTTTATCGTGAAGATGAAAACAGCATCTCACAAAACTGCACGGAGTCATTAAGTTCAAAGCCCACAACAGTTTTGCATAAAGCACATTCAAAGAGCGGTGGAGGTTTTGAACTTCAACAACCAAAGCGCACTCCTGGTCATTACGGCACTTCCAAGTGGCCCCGAACACCCACAGGCTACACTCACAAAAGCTAATTACTTCAATTAACGCTCCCGCGCAGCTTAAACACCTCACGTGCTGCTGACCCCTCCCTCCTCACCTCACCGGGGTGGGGGCTGCAGGGGACTGCGCTGCACAGCCCACGTGCAGGGCCCTCCTGCGGGGCGGCCCCTCGGGGCCCGGGGGCGGGGGTCCTGACGGCTCCCACTCGGGGAAGGCCGCCCACTCAGCCTCCTCGAGAGCCCTCGGTCCCAGCTCGCCCTCAGGGCTCCCCACGACGGCCTCTCCTGGGCACTCCGTCCACAAGACTCTGTCTTCCGTGTGCTCTCCCCGCGTCACTCTTGCGGGGAGATAAACGCCCGGCCCCACGCGTCCCTCATGCCTGTGTCGGGCAGGGTCAGAGACCAGGGCACAGGAGGGGCCGGCAGGAGCCCCTGCGCTATGGGGTCACGCTCCGGCGTGCCGCTGCGGCGCAGCTGCGGCATGGGGAAGGGAGACCGGACAGCCGATGGCGGGGAGCCCTGCGGGACCCTGAGAGCAGGAGAGGGCGGGCGGGGACGGCGGGGGCGGGAACCGTGTCCACAGGCTCCCGAGGCCGACAGTGGCCGAAGGGCAGCAGAGAGCACACCCAGGGCCCTGAGGCGGGAGGGACGCACGGAGGGTGTGGAGGGGCGCTGTGGACGCAGAGCCACACGGGTCGGGCGGCCCCGAGGGAGGTGGGCTGCGGAGTGGCCGGCGGCCTGTGCGACCGACCGTGAAGGCCGGAGCGACCCCGACAGCAGGGTGGGGCGGCCACCCTGCGGGGGCTCGGGGGGCGTTCCCAGGCGGGCACCACTGTCAAGGAGACCGCGGCCAGCGGGAGCAGATAGCACAGTCCCCGGGGAGTGGGGGGGGGGGGGAATGGAGGAGAGCGCCTGGGGCACGGTCACCAGGCTGGCAGACTGCGTTGGGTCGGGTCCGTGCTGAGGGCAGGGCATGTGAAGACACCCGGGCGGACAAGAGGCCCGCTGCCGGAGCCCGGGAGCAGGACGAGGGTGTGGGAGAAGCTGTGGGTGCTGCGAGGGCCGGGCCTCTCCAGTGACGGGAGGGTTGGGCCAGGCAGGCTGGGTGGGGGAGGGTCTCTCTGGTGGGTTAGGGTCCCCCCCCACGCGAGTCCACCAGGACAAACAGCAGGACCCCTGCAATGGGCTGGCCGACAGTGGGGAGGCGGGTGGGGGGTCTCCCCAGAAAGACACGGGTACTTGCCCACCACCACGCGCTCAGAAGGGATCTGTGACTGGCCCCACAGGAGACAGAAACTGCGGCGCTCGATCAGCCCCCCTTTGAGGCCCCCCACGCGGGCGCTGCCATGCCAGGGGTGGGGGTGCAGGCCTGCTCGTTCCGGCCTGGCTCCCTTTCCACACACAGGAGCCTCCCGGCAAGCATCTCCTCTTTAATTTCTTCAGACGCCATGGACCCCTTCTGACAAGGGTAGCCAAAGGACCTAGAAAGATTCCGAATGGCCTGACTTTCCTTCTGTGGAAGGGCGAAGTGAGGAGCGGCCATGCCGCTGGCCCGCCTGGGTGCTGATCAGCCTGGACGCCCACTGTCTAATTCACCCAGCGCCGCACGTGCCCTCCCGGGTCCCGCCCCCTGACCTGCGGGTCAGGGGCGGCGCGCAGCTCGGGCGGAAGCGGCCCGCGCCGCGGACATCTGCTCGACACCCCCCGGCGACTCTGGTGTGTTTATTACACAGGAGGGTGCCTGTCTGAGGGAAACAAATGTATCGTCGTATCTACCACTTTAATGAGACGTTACCAAGCTGACAGTGTTGACTAGGGTTATGACTCTGGAATTAAATATGCTTGATCTAAAGAACTTTAAAATGTTAGAAGAATAAAAGACACATATAGTTCTAAGCTAAAAGTTAATGGTATCACAATGCACAGTATTGCTGACACGAATTCTCCAGAACAGATAAGAATCTGAATTTCCATCATCCAAGAACAAAGCTCTAAGTGTTATCAACACCCTTGGGCTGGTCATTTAAATTCGCTATTTGTAATTAAAGAAAGTAGGTATATTTCTTCCTGTTGCTCAATATTTCATATTTAAAGTAACTTTCCACTTCATACCTACTCTTGAATTATGAGCCTGAAATACAGTTAGCTATTAATAATCTGGTTTTGGTGGTAGGTTTTCAATATTAAAAATACATATTTTAAGAGAAAAGTGTGCAGGGTGAAAACCATCTAAGTAAAATCAAAAGAAAATTTACACAGCCCGTGTCATCTGTCACCATGTCACTATTCCCGTCTCCACTGGTGCTTCATTTAAAGCCAGCCACTCAAAACTGAAGTGTAAAATCCGTGCCGCGCTTACCCGATTATCAGCCGCTACCAAACAGCATTCCCAAACGCCACCGGAACGCCCAGGCCCAGCTCAGAGGGTCAAACTAGCACCTTCGTGTCGAAGTGACTTTTCACCCGGAAGCCTCGCCCGGAGAGGGACACCCGGGACCTCACTGAGACGGCACACGGCCCACCCGGCCTCGCCAGCGGGGTCACGGGCCGCCAGCATGGGGACGGGGCACGGGGACGGGGCGCAGCGCCGGGCCGGCCTTGCCGACCACAGCCACTTAGTCAGGGAGAGGCGGCACCGGGCCGAAATGCCGCCGGTCGCCCGCCAGCCCCTGCTCCCCCGGCACGAGGACTGCGACCGGGACAACAGCGCCAAGGCCACGAGAAGCTGGTGTCCTTCCCTTCAAGCGCGTCTTCGGTGAGTCGAGTAATATTTCTTGTGGTCTAAACACGTAACACACACGTACCATTCAGTCGCCTCTGGAGCGCTTCTTCCTCGAGGGTGATGATATAGATCTGCTCATCCAGGTCTTCGAGAATCTGCATTCAAAGACCAAACCGTTGAGTGAGGCGGCGCCGCAGAGCCAGTGCTCACGAGAACACTCGGGCTGCTTGCCCCGTGACTGAGACAGCGTTCGAGTTACTAGGGATCCAACGTAAAAACAATGTCCAACTATCCGGTGTACAAACTAGGTAAAAACATTTCAGTGTATAACTGAGCGCGTGAAAGCTGACTACGACAAAACTGAACGCTTTCTAACAAGTTGGAAGGGTGAGACCGCTCTGCAGCCCCCAGTGGCGAACAGACACGTCAGCTCTGACTGGGCGAAAAGCTGAGGGGGGGGGGGGGCGGGAGTCCTGTCCTGGCCCCAGCAGGGCCCCACCGCAGGGAGGGGCAGGGAGGGCAGGGCGCCCGGGCCACCCCGACTCTCAGCGTCACTCCCCTGCAGAGCGCTCGGCACAGCAAACTAACCAGCACCGGGGAGCGCTCTGCACTCACATCGCCTTTACACACCGAAGATCTCCCGCAAACGCTCCACGCGGCGTGACCGAAATCATCCCAGGGACCCTTTCATCTCACGACACACGGATGGTAACGACCAAAATTCTCTGCACACCCAAAATACATTTGTGCCAATCTGACCGGAAAAGCAGGAATAATTTTGATTCATCCGCACTGGACGGCTACTGTTGGCTGGCTGTTGCCGTTCTTCCGTCCGGCCGCCCAACAGTCGGGTGTGGCCGCGTGTCTGAAGCACTCCCACCGCACACTGTCAGACGCTGCTGCCGCAGACAGAGCCCCGGAGGGGCCGTAGGCTGGCACACCCACCTCTCACTGCCACGCCTCACAGCACACGTCAGAAACCGCCCCCAAACCCCGCCGGAGAGCCACCACGCGGGCTAGTGTCCGCACCGTCTCCAGGCCGACGCGCCTGGAGTGGGTCCACGCCAGCTGTCAGCAGGGCCGGCCCTGAAATGACCCTGCGCGTGGCCCTGGCTCTGGGGACAACCTGCTCTGTGTCACTCACACCCAAACCACTCCTCCCAGCAGCTCCAAGTCATAAGACGTCGTGGACAAAATGGAAGGACTGAAACCCCGCACACCGACCTGCTCAGCGCCCTGCGGGGCACTACCGAGACAAGGGCCCTCGTACCATGCGGTCCCTGCCAGGCACCAAATTTGCAGGATTTACTAAAGCTGATTCACAGCAATCCAGTAACTCCCAGGGTTTTGATAAATACTGATACTCTCCTATGGCCTAGAACTAGGAGCAAATGAAGAGTAAGTAAGAGTGAATCTAAATGACCACAAAAGATAAGCACCCTGTGAGCGAGAAGGGGCAGAAAGAAAGAGGGCTCAGTGGGAGCCCTACCTGGGGACACCAGTGAGGGCCTCCCTAAGGAGACAACACTCGAATCCTGGGTGGGGAGCAGCAGGCTCCACAGAAGCCCTCGGGGTGACTCAGCCATAAACAAGACACCAGCACCTAAGCTGCGTGTCTGCCATCGGTGTTAGGTGGAAATGGGTGTGTGAATAGGAGGCACTCCTCGCAAGCACCCAGCACAGCATCGATGACTCAGCGGAAGACCACGTGGAACCAATGCTCAGCATCACCAGCCATCAGAGAGATGCAAAGTAAAAGCACAATGAGATACCACTTCACACTGGTCAGAATGGCCATCGTAAAGAAATCAACAAACAAGTGCTGGTGAGGATGTGGAGAAAAGGGAACCTCAGTGCACTGCTGGTGGGAATGCAGGCTGGGGCAGTCTCTGTGGAAAACAGTATGGAATTTCCTCGAAAAACGAAAGATGGAGCTGCCTTATGACCCAGTGATTCTACTGCTGGGATTATACCTGAGGGACCCTGAAACACCAATCCAAAAGGACCTTTGCACCCCAATGTTCACAGCAGCACAATTTACAACAGCCAAGTGCTGGAAAGAGCCTAAGTGCCCATCAGTCATTGAGTGGATCAAAAACTGAGGTCCATTTACACGATGGAACACTACGCAGCAGAAAGAAAGGAGCTCCTACCCTCTGTGACAGCATGGGTGGAGCTGGGGAGCGTTATGCTGAGTGAAGGAAGCCCAGCGGAGAGGGACAAATAGCATGTGATCTCACCTTTAAGTGGAACCTAATCAACAAAACAAACATTTGAGCAAAACAGAACTGGAGAGAGGAGAGAGTAATGGGGGAGATGGGGACCACTGTAACTGAACAATAAAAACTTTTTTAAAGATGACGATTGGAGGTGAGGAACTAGAGAAGAGGTGAAGGACACTTCCATAACAGACAAGTCTGGGAGGAAGCTGGCGGCGGGAGGGAGGCCCAGAAGGAGCCTGGTCCACGTGCCCTGGTCCTGCTCGGCAGCCACTCAGCACGGCACGCGCAGGCCGCGCCTGCACCCGGGCCGGGGGGCCGGGCGGGGCCACGGTGGCCGGGACAGCGGAGCACAGCCACTAACAGAGCAAGCTCTGAACGTGACACATCTGCCTATGTTCAGGGCCAGGCAATGAAAACGGAGGAAGAGACCAAGACAGACAGAGCAGAGAGCCTCGAAGAGGCTGGATGCACACAGTGGCACGTGACCCACCTAAGACGGACGTGAGTTCGAGACTCGAGAGTGCGTGTGCGGCATCTGAGCGTGCCCGTCTAGGTAGCAAGTAAAAAGTCCAATCTTATTCTAAAGAGGATATGAAGAGAATGCCATTTATCTTTTTTAAAAAACCTTCAAAATTAAGCTAGCATTTACCAAAAGAATATATACGGTCTTTCCTTAGTTTTTTCTGAAGGAAGACAAACACATAGCCATAGCAATTTAGTGAGTACTACCAGTAAAACACCAACAGAACAGAGCGTGAGAAATGCAGAGGAAGGGGTGTAATTATTTTAGCCTAAGAAAGGGAGACAAGGGCCAAAGTCAGGCAGGAAGGCAGCGGGTCCCAGGGCCAGGCCTCTGGAGGCGGCCGGGCGGGGGAGCGGTGAGAGGCACCGCGGGGGAAAGACCCTGGTCACCGAGAGTCCAGGGCAGCGTCGACAGGGGCAGGGTGCAGGAGGGTGAGCTCCGTGCAGGCAGGCTGTGGGGGCCTCGGAAGAGGTGGGCCATTCAGACTAGAGTGTGTGCGCAGCAAGGGTCCACACTCGGATCCGAGCAACACATCTCCTACACACAGCTAAGAATCGTTTTCATGTTATTAATCACTTGACAAAATGCCTAGAGACCAAAGAAACAAGTCACTAGAATTACTGCTAATTGCAAATTGTTTGAAAATAAATAGATATAACTTCTGAGATTAAAGGGACAAGATCTAATATGTAGACAAATCTTCAGAAATATAACTGCTTTTGTAAATCAAAGAGTGTATGTGGTAAGTTTTGATGTGTAGTAATGACTATTTGATATGAGGAAACAAATACCTAAAATACCTGTAAATATTCGTGAATCTTGCCTTAAAACTTGCTACAGAAACTCTACCCGAGTGCCTATAATAGTATTTTAAAAGCAAAAACAAATGTGGTTTCCAAAAATGAAAAAGATTAAAATAAAAACAGCAGCAGCAAATCGGGTCATACACCCACAAAAACACTCTTCTTGTTTCTGGGTGCTGGCTGGCAACCTAGAAGCCGCCGGTGCAAACACCGTCACCCCAGACAGACGGTTCCCGCCGTACTCACCGCCGGCTTCACGAGCAGCTGGCCCATCACGGTGAACATGCGGGACAGGCCCACGGGGGTGCACACTGTGGGGAGACGGAGACCAGGAACACTTACCGCGGGGCGAGCACACACACCACCAGTCTTGAGACCACACTCGCTCAGACCGTGCTCGCAAGAAAGCACTGTCTCAGCGTCGGACCCCCGAGTCTGCAGAGGGCGCAGCTCCTCCACGTCATCGGGGACGGGCTGGAGGGACGCCTTCTTGTGCTTGAGGAAGGACAGATGGCCGCTATGGGCCGAGGACATGCACAGGCGAGCCTCTGGGGCAGCTGAGTGATGATGCCTTTTCACTTAAACAACATTACAGAAAACCAGCTAAAGAGCAGATTAAATTTCACGTACTAACGAGACTGAGAAACAGAGAAGAATACCTAAAAGTGACCATGATAATCTTAAATCCTTTTAACAACATTTATCTGTTGATAATACCCGTGAGGTACATTGTGATGTCTAAAGGAAAACTAAGCGAACTTCCCCATAAAGACCCCAGTCATCACACACACATCCCCATCACTACCGTCCGAAAGCAGAGTCTAGTGTGCAATGGCAGGGGGTGGGGGCATGTGTGCGTGTCTGTGTGTGCACGTGCAGGTCTGTGCGTGCTGCGACTGCCTGTGCGCGCAAGCACGCCTGAGTGTGGGTCTCTGTCTCTGTGTGTCTGCGTGTGTGTGTCTATGGGCGTGAGTGTGCACATCGGTGTGTGTGTGCCAAGTGTCCCCCCCTCGCCACACCCCTGGGGAAGAGGCTTTTCTTTTTTTTTTTTAATATTTTATTTATTTATTTTTAGAGAGGAAAGGTGGGGAGAGAGAGAGAGAGAGAGAGAGAGAAACATCTATGTGCGGTTGCTGGGGGTTATGGCCTGCAACCCAGGCATGTGCCCTGACTGGGAATCGAACCTGCGATGCTTTGGTTTGCAGCCCGTGCTCAATCCACTGAGCTATGCCAGCCAGGGCGGGAAGAGGCTTTTCTTAGAGAAAACACAACTGTCTTATTGTTTCAAGGGTTCAGTTTGTTGAAATTTATCTTGAACATAAAAACTGCTTGAGGGTCAACTTTGGAAAACTCTCCAAGCTGTTCCCAAGTGCCATCAGGAAGATTTCCCACAATTCTCCAGAACGGAGAGTAACTCGACCCTTCGGTCGACAGGGCATCACAAAATACTCACAGAGAAGTAGCAAACACCCCATCAGCGATATGCAGGAATACAAGTACGGCAGGTAGAACTCCCAGAGATCTACGAGAAACAGAAGCAGACGTCAGCGAACCCGACGCACTGCCCGGCAGGCCAGGGCCCACTGCGAATGGACACGCAGCGCGAGGCGGAGCGGCCCTCGCGAGCCTGGTGCCCCCTGCAGCTTCCGAACCACCCGAGTGCGGCCTTGGGGGCGGAGCGCGAGCGGCCCCTCTGCAGGCCTGTCTGGAGGCGGGAAAGTCGGGCGGCTTCTCAGCTTGCACGCCAACGGGGGCTGACACTACACGGAACGGCTCGGCTGCCTGAAGGCGAGCGAGCGACCACGGGCCGGGGCACACGGGCGGGGCGGCCCAGCGCACCGTACAGGGACTCCATGCTGGCCGCGTCGCGGTCCACCAGTGCCGAGGCGACCCACACCATGCCGAGGATCAGCAGCGCGAGCAGCACCAGCATGACCAGCGTCTCCAGGATGCGGGCCCGGATGCCCTGGAAAATAAAGACGTGTGATGTGGACGCTGCAGTGCAGCGCCTGAGCAACCAGGGCTCGGTCCGTCGACAGGCCGCACAGAGCTCCCTGGGCAGGGGAGGGAGTGTGCACTCACCAGCAGGACAAAAACCACTACGTGCTCACAGTCGGTGATGTCTTATTATTTCAAGGTTTCAGTTTGGCTTTTTCAAAATTATGTAAAATACCATTAGCTTTGAAGAAAAAAACAAAAAAAAATCCTTTGTAAAAACATTTTGCAGAACAGAGCCATCCTAAACAATTAATTACCTTCCTAACACTCCCCACCACGGAAGCAGATTCACCGACTTTTATCTGTGGCTCTAATCAAGGGACACGAGGCTAATTGCGGCGCAGAGCCAAGCAGATGGCGAGCGCTGCCGGCTGCAGGCACAAAGCCCGCTGGCGCAGGGGCCCAGCTCCCTCAGCTCCGGGCCGCCAGCGCCCTCTAGTGGGCAGCGGAGGCCTCCGTCACGCCCGACAGGAGGGGCACAGGAGAACAGTCTTCGCCGCAGGGACAGAGGGCGGCCCTCCCCTCAGAGACGTCTCCTTCCTCCACGGGCTAGGACCGGTGCACACTTTGTTCTAAACGCAAAACAAGTCCAGCCCGGGGCCAAACTAGAGGCCGGCCTTGTCAGCTTGAAACCTCCTGCACAAGGCAGCCACAACACCTTCCTCACGCTCCTGAGAAGCCACCCAGGGACTGAGTCCGTGCCACGGCCCACAGAGTCACATCGATGCTGTGAGCACCGCTCTGCAGCGTCTGACACGGCGGACACCGTCAGAAGTGCATCCGTGCTCCTCAAGGAGCCAGCCACGTGATCTTCCCTCCACATGGAAAAGAAGGCAAAGACATGAGTTATAAATAACAATCCTGAACACACACTCACCTTGATTTTGCCCTAAATATTACTCTCCAGCTTGTGGAGTAAAGGACCCGGCTGTCCCCCATCCTCAGCAGAGGGCGGAGTGGCACCCCTCGCCCCACGTGGTGACGCAGAGTTGAAGCGGCCTTACGGGTCTGTCCCAGCGCGGGCGGGGCGGTCAGCGCGCTCAGGCATGCAGTCGGCACTCTGCCGCGCTCACAGCACAGGAGGCGCGGACCCAGACCCAGCAGGGCTCGTGTTTGCCCCGGGGGGACAAAGCGTGAACAGTCCCCACACACACTCCCACTTCACATACATGTCCACCCACACAGGGGGCCAAGCACGACCACCACTTTCTAACCCGCCTTCTCTGTCCTCCCTCCTCCCTTTCTAAGCACGGGTCTTTCCACTGTGCACGCACTATGGTGTGGAGAGCCCGCAAGCAGAACAGGAGAAAGAGCAGGCGCCCTGGTGCATCGCACACCTGCAGCCGCAGGAGTGTCAGGGCTGCCACAACCCTCCGCAGGTGCGCCCCCAGTGCTGCGACGCAGGGGCCGACAGCACAGCAGCTGGGATCAATGACAGCGGAGCCACAGTGCCCGGGGGTCAAAACTGCTGTCACGGTGCACCACAGCTACTGCGTCAACTAAAACAACGCAGCCACGGTGCGAGCCCGGTGCCTTGGAAGACAGAGACGGTGCCTCCCCGAGGCAGGGGCAGGTCTGTGCACAGTCTCGTGTGGTGAAGAGCGTGTCGCCAGCAGAGCAGAGGGCGGCAGGCCACTTGCAGCCCTTTTGAAAGAACGTGGGCTCCCTAAGCTCGGGGCTCCTCGGCTGGGACAGGGCCCACTGCAGACTCGGCCCCCAGCCACGCGGCCCCCAAGAGCTGCGGGCAGGGAGCTGAGAGGAGCCAGAAGCTCGAGTGCCGGCCGTGCTGGGGGTCGTGAGGCCCCGTGTCTGGCCCGGAGTCCTCGCCCCAGGCAGCCCCTGGCAGGCCAGCCTGTGGGCGCGCAGGTGCCCACGGCGTCTCGGCTGCCACTGTCTGGGCAGTGTAGGGAGCTGAGGACAGGGGCGGACAAGGTGCTCTGGAGAGCACATGAGGCCCAGGCAGGGGAGTAGGCCTCGAAAGGGCTCCCGGGACCTGGCGGTGAATGCTCCCATGCAGGCGGGAGGGCCCTGTGCCCACTGACACGGGCCTGGGGCTGGGCTACGAAGGGGTGTGGGTGGCTTGGAGGCAGGGAGGGGTGGCCTGGCAACAGTGCAGCAGCAAGCCCCACAGGGCCCACCAGAGGGACTGTCCTGTGGCTGGGGCTGTGGCCATGAAGAGCTGTGTTTCTTGTATGCTTTGTGCTTTTCTGTGTTTTCCAGACTTTCTGGAGGGGATGTGTATCACTTAAGTAACATGAGAATGAACTCTTACTTTTTAGTTTTCAGTTTTTTTCTTGAAAGACTTAACTTCCAGGACACTGCACCCACAAGAAGCAGCTTTGGAAACAGCTGGTTCTGCTGACGAGACAAGGGCCAATGCACAGCCCGACCCCAGCAGGCTGCCAGGTTCAGGCCTTGGTCTCACCGCCGCCCATGGGAGGCCTTGCTGTGCCTCAGTCTCCCCCTCTGTGAAATGGGTTCACTGACAACACTCCTGCCTCGTCGGGGCGCTACACGGGTCAGGTGAGTCAGTGTATGTAACACGTTCAGCACAAGGCCTGGCGCTGAGTGAGCTGACTGTAGTGACGGCCTTGGCCTTGAACATCTGCGAGGCCTGGGGTCACACAAACCTCCTCCCATCGCTCTTGGTCGCAACCGGGAAACAGGCGCAAGGACACAATGACACCCGAGAAGTCCAGACTCGTGGGCGCCACTGTAGCCAGCGAGAGGCCACCGGGCTCTCTCTTCCACTGGCCAGGATGCACGAGGTGACCTCGGGCGGGGGCAGGGCCCAGGGGCCTACGCTCAGTGACCACAGCAGGGCCTGTCCGGCCCACGTGCAGGCTGCGCACAGGGCACAGGGAAGAGGGCCAGAGAAAGGGGCACGCTCTCCTCCGCTGTGGCCGCTTCACGGTCACGCGGCCACAAGGGGGCGATGGCGGTCCCCAGGAAGACCGACCCGCTGCTGCCGACAGACCCTCCGTCAGGGCTCTGAGCCCCCGAGCCCTTTCGGTCAGTTCTTCCACGGTCACCCGTTCCGCGGGATTCTCTGAAACCCAGTTTGCTTAAAGTGACCCCTCAGTCAGCCAGCTGCAGCTCAACTTACGAGTTCCGAGTAGAATTCATGTCGAAAAGAGGAAATCTACTAACTTCTCACACTGCCCCCTTCTGCTGAGGTTAAGAAGTCTGTCCTCTCCTCGAGCATTTGAAACGCGACCCCAGTGCGACCCTCTCAGAAAGCCCCACAGCGTTCACCACCACGTACCTGTGCCCATGTGCTCACACACCACGTCCCCCCAAAAGTCTTGTGCGTGCTTTAAAAAATTCTACGTGAACAAGCCTTTCTAAAAAGAAACAAGCCACACGATTCCAAAGGGATGCCCGTTCTATTATAGATATACAAATAACACCAAGAAAAGGATCTAAAATGTATATTCACATGCTTAAGTGGTCACATAAAAAACATTTAACCAAAAAAATCCCAAACCTTTGAAGCAGGCAAATTGTACAAATTCTTCAAAAATTTACTTCAGGTTGATGAAAACTCCCCTGAAAGACGGGGAGTAACTCAGCCCGCCTGCAGCCGGCAACCAACAGTCAAGAGGGAAGGAGGGCCCGAGGCGCACGGAGCGGCCGGTGGGACGCTGAGGCGGCAGCGCCAGGGCCGGGCCAGGGCGGACGGTAACTGTCCTTCCGACTGGGCCCCTAGGGGGCCGGGACAAGGGCGTTTTCCTTTTGTCAATTTTAGTCTCTGCGATTAAATGAGACAAAATCGGGTGAACTTGAAATCAATTAGGTGTCTGGTGAGGGAGCTCCGGCAGCACCGGCAGGCAAACAAGACCTGTGCACTAACGCCTGCGGGCAGAGAAGGGGGCTCGGGACGGCCAACACTCCGAACCCCGGCCGCTGCTGCAGCACCGGCGGCTCCGCCAGGCACCACCCCCACGTGCGCGCGCCGTCAGCAGGGCTTCCTTGGGGCGAGGGCAGAGGGCAGCGTCGTGAAGCCTACGGAACGGAGCCTGCGGTGCCCCCGTGAGGCCTGCACTTGGGGTGGGCCTCTGCGGCACCGCAAGGAGAGGCGGCGTGAGAGCTCTTATCACGACCATTAATCGCCAGCGGGACAGCGTGTGAGCAAACAAGGATGCCCACCCTCATCTTTCCATTAGGAGTCAGCATCGGGCGCGAGGAGGCCCCAAGGGGAAGGTCCCCATCAGCTCCCCTCTCCCACGCGCTGAGCTAAAGGATGGCCAGATGTCAGAGCCACTTGCTGAGACGCTCTGCCCGCGACCAAGCGGCAAGGCGCCGTTGGGGGGGGTGGGGGGGAGGCTTCCCCTGCCCCTCGCCGCCGTGAGCCACAGGGTCCCCCGCGTGTCAGGTCACAGACCTGGGGGAGCTGCCCTTGCTGTCACCAGCTGTGCTCCCCACACGGAGCTGGGGACGCTTCACCCGTGTCGCGCATTGCTAGGGTTCCGTGGACTGTGTCAGGTTTTCAGTGACCCCCAAAACCCGTAAGCCCGAGTTACTGAGGGGAAGCTCCATCCCTTGTATTGACACCGTCTTGTAACAAGCACTCAGGGCAGTGGTAAGAAGCACCACCAAACAAAGAACTTTCCGCCAGTGAAACACTGCATCGTTTTTCAGAAAAGTAAGCTGTATGATTAATTACACTAGTTTCATACCAGTACTACTTTGGAAATTACCACTATCTCGACAATGTAACAGTTTAAATTAGATTAAGTAAGCTAGTAAGTGAGTATTGAATGCGCAGAGTTAAAACACTAAATAGTTCTAATTGCTGCTTGTATCTGTGTGCCGGCCAATCCCACAGTCAACTGCTCTGTACTGAACACCAGTAAAGTGAAAAGTACAACACGCTTACAAAAGCTCCGACAACGAGCTCGTGTGTTTCTATGGTGATGAACATTTAAACAAGGTTTTGCCTGGACATCCTGACCTCCTGGAAGGTGT